ATTTCACCCGAATTTCTGGGAAACCATTCATCAAAATGGCTGTTGAAAAAATTGTGCGCCATATTTTTCGCACAAGAAATGATTTTTCTGATATATTAACAATTTTTTTTTCCAACGCGATAAAAAAAAATAACAAATATTTGAGATTCATTGAACCGCGTCTCGTCCCGATGTTTTCACCGAGAAATTTACGTAATTTCGCGAAATGCTCTTCAATTAATTTATGAAAAATAGAAACGAAAAGTGAATGCATGTGTGATTACCTTGATATGACAGTCTACTACGCTTTCTCCTGCTTTTCATCACCTGTCATCGAAGGAAAGACAGTTCCATTTCTAAATAGCGTATATGAAATTCATATGAAATTCCCCTGCTCGTCTGCATAATATCCCCACTCGAGTTCAGGAAATTAATACTTCGAGAATATAAAAGAAAGATTCTCCATTCGACGAGCAAAATCGATCGATTCCTTCAAAATGAAGATTCACATTTATTGGATTGTAGCACTTGTCGTTGCAGATCGAATTCGGGGTGAAAATCCAAATAAAAAAATTGAGTTTCCCTCAAAAATCAGTTCAGGGACTGGAGCAACTGAATCCCGTGAGTATCCAAGAGCCAGAATTTCTTTGAATTCTTGAAAACCTATTTTTTTATTCTATTGATACTCGAAAAATCCAAATTAATCAAGTTAATTAAGTTCTCCCCATTTTTAGTGATTCTTTCATACAGAAGCAATTTCACAGGAATTCATTAATAAAATTGTGAAAACATTCAATTGTTGAATTTTTTTTTGTTCTTCAGTGAATGATGCGGCCGTACGGCGAGTGTTGTCCGCAATAACGAATAGAAAGTTTCCAGATGATGATGGCAATTTGTTGGAATTAATGAAGAACGGAGTCATTGATGCGGCAAGACTAATTAAAGGAAACCCAAAAGCTTCATTTCAAGCTGCCCATAAAAAAGCTCAAGATCTGGTATCCAACATAACTGCGTCCTACACTCAGGCTATCTTCAAATCCAAATCTCCAGCAGAGGCCAAACAAACTCTCCATCGGTTCCAAAAACTCATTAAAAAAATTGTTGACTTCACGAAATCCGGAGTATTTCTACCATAACGATATCTCGACATTTAATTATATACGTCTCATATCTGAAAACGCGAAAGTCTCTCGGCATTTAATTTTCAAAATAATTTACACATTGTAAACAATTAATTCTGTGTTTAAAATAAAACTACAGACAAATGCGTAAGAAAAAAATGTCTATACATATGTTACCCACCGGTTTTTTGTGAAAATCTCGAAATCTAAGGGCGATACAAAAATTTTTCTTGATACCTTTTCTATGGGCCGAATCGAGATCTATAGAAAAGGTTATTACGACTATTTTGTTATCTCCCTCAATTTCAGAGATATTCCTGAAAAAACATCCGAACTGAGGAATCGCCTTGTGACTCTTCCATTTCGTTGTGTACCCGTCATATATTTTTTCAAACATCAGTTCAAGATATTTTTTCCTATATTTTTCAAAATAAAAATTCTCCTGTGTGGCCCTCTGCTCTCGAAATTATTCCCCATTTTATCTATAAAATCTGTAATTTTTGGGAATCGATTTCACGTTTATCCCAGAATTGATGGGTTTTTGAGGTGAAATTTTCAACGTGAAAAACGTTGGAAAAAAAAAATTTGTGCATAATCACGGAGACGAGGAGGGGATTATTCTTGCTGACGTATTAGTGAGGCAGACGATCCATTGTATACCCTGACGTTGGGCTCATAATCTGGCGATGTAGGATCTCCAACCCGAGCTGACCGGAACTGCGCCTATGCTCTCGCCGGAAGTGCTGCTGCCACATGTAGTAATATAAATTATAATGCCCTTACGGTGGTTCTTTCCTTTTTTTCAACTACTATAAATTTGCATTTCAAACACCGGAATGGTATTGTTTTGTCCAAATTGCCAAATTCAATTTTCATGGAAATATATTGCCAGATGCTATTATTTCTGTAAAGAATTTCTCAATAAATGGATTTTGTCCACCCCATACCTCGGGATCGAAGAAAGATAGGATTATTTTGGTGGAGACATTTTTCGTAAGCAAAAATGAGAGCTAGGGAAAATATATCTATGAAAATATCACTATTTTTGTTTGTTGTCAAGATATTCGCAAAAATCACAAAATTAATTGTAGAAATGAATTTTATTTTTCTGTAACTGCATTCATAAAAATCGCAGATGAATGTAAAATATATATTCCTGCGAAACCGATTGCATTTTACTAGAGTTCGCACGTACATCTAATAGTAACATAATAAAATCCACTGCTCATTTTTCACTGCCTCCAGATTTTTGCAACTTGGAGATAATAAACATTACGCGAAAGGCACGACTACTGGCTAGATACCACCAGCCGAGAGTACCAAACACAATGCTGCATTGTCCCACGACAACTTCGTACCAAAGTCTGTGTTAAATCATATCTCTAAGAATATTCAATCGTGTAGTTTGAATTTTTTCATTCGCCCCTTGCAAACTTCCCCCTCCCCAGATTCCAAAGACATTTCGAGACGAAATGACTTTGGAAAAATTCCTATTCACACCTCTACGTTAATAAAAATTAATTAATAAAAGCAATCGAGTAAATTAATCGTTTCACCTTAATTGGTTTTGACGATTCTTTTAAAAATTCTTTAACTGTTTACAAAACTCCAATTTTTTTTCAACTGAGTTAAAACTTTCGGACATTTCGCGGATCATAATCCCATCATTCGTGGTGATAAGAAAAAAGTGGAGAAGAGAAAAATTAAAAATGCCGGGCGCGTGTTCCCATCGTGAGGAGGATACGGTGATAAAATTCGTGTTGTGTACAACCCAAGAGCAGTAACTTATTATCATCATTTTTTTATTAAACAAATGCGGAAGCATACATGCCACTGTGCGCTTTTTCGTGTACAGCGTTGACGATCAGGACAACTTCTGGCTCTCAACATTTCTTATCGCCGTGGGAATGACCTGCACCAGATGGCCGAAATTTCAGAAACTCGTGCATTTCATTATGAAATGAATAATTCGCATGCTGCGCTCTAAAAAAAAAATATAACATTTAAATGAATATTGGAAACGACAAGTGTCAACAGAATTGATTCATGAGAAGTCAGAAATTTGCCCATCCCATCACGATTTTATCCTAAGTTCTATGAAAACTTGAAATTAATAAAAAATAAACACAGATTTTATGATATATATTCTATTCTATCCCAGACAATAAAAAAAAAATATAACCACATATTTCGAAGATAAAATCGAAAAATTTTGTGTGCGAAAAATGATTGACCGGAAAAAATATCCCGTTTCTCCATTTTATCGTTATTTCATGGCTCACAAAGTCTCAATAATTGTAAAGTGCAATAATTTTCCAGTGCTTCCCCCAAAGTTTTCTAAATTTTCAAAAAGTGTGAAAAAACGCGTAAAAATTATTGCACAATCCCGACATTCCGGATGAATTGTGAATTATTCCAACCCCCCAGATGAACTGTGAATAAATGAATTTCCTCTAAAAAGGGGTAGATTAGCCCAAAATGATATTAAAATTAAGTTCGCCTCACCCAAAGTACTAGCCATATCCTACTATAATGTAATAGTGTTTTTTTCTCGAAGCATGAAAGCTCGAAGCGACGATTAAACCTCTGCAGGATTCCACATATCCCCGATTTTTTCCCCTTTTTGTTTCAGTATCCACCGCAGGTCTTTTTAAATAACTGTAATGAAGACAATTATCGTGTGCGCTGACAAGCAGAGTATGACGAGTCGTTGTTACATTACGGCACGGTGAGGCACCAAGACATGTAGGAGGTGCAGGATAGGTAGCGCGTGGCAATCCACCCCGTCCTCCTGTCCCCCGCTGTTTTATACCTCCTTCCAACACACCTCAGTGTCCTACACCAACGATAAACCCATCGACTTTCTTATTCCTTCTCCACACGATATAACGCTCCTTACGCATGCTGAACGCTCCCCCCGGAAGACAACCCTCGAGAGGAACTCCGGGTCAGAGACTTCAGGCATATTCACCTCCTTCACCAAAACACTCACAGCCTGTGCTAACGTTGGCTCGTGCCTAGATACGTCACACTATCTAGTCATGCCCTCCACTGGAAATTCAAATGACTTTTTTTATAAAAAGCTCACTATCCTCATTATCATCACTATCGCCTCGTCCTCAACACTTACATCATTTTTTCATCTGAAATTTTTGCATTGTCCATTGCATCACAGAATGTAATATGAATTGGAAATATTCGTAGGGACTGACCAGTGAGAGGTCGTCATGATCTGATCTCGAATTATTCTGACCGGTCGTCGATCGGTTACTCATCGGCTAATTTTTTAGTTCAGTTCAGATGGGATGGTTGGAATTATATATGAGGTTGATTATATTGTTATTATATTGAGAAATGAGGGGCTATTTAAGTCTGGGGAATACTTATGTGACAGTCTATCTCTCATGGATATTCCAGAATTTTGGTTTCCAAAATTCAGGGAATTTTAGAGAATTCTGGAGAACTCCGCAGTGAATATTTATTTTTTTCCAGAAATTTGTCGAATTTGTATCCAAAAATTCGGTCCCAAAAAATTTCCCGAAAATTGTAAAAATTGTAAAATCCCCGGCGGCCCTCTCCCAAAACAAACCGAAACCACCAAACGTATGATTTTTCAGGTTGATCGGTGCCGAAAGCGTATCGATTGAAAACCCATTGGAGCCGTACAAACACCAGGATCGATCTCGAAACAGCCAGGAGCAGGTGTCCAGGCTGATGATAGCGCACCTCCTGCCCCCGAAAACCTCAGATCCCGTAAAGACGCGATGGAGTAATCGGAGTGTTGAGGGGGAAAACCGCCGAAGATGAAAAAAAATCTCAACGGGGATTTTTTTCGTGGCTTTATTTGGAGGGCACGGTCGGCGCCGATGTGTTAATAATGAGAAACGTGGCTAGCACGGAGAGCCGAGTGAAGTAGCCTCGCTTATGGTCCGGTGGTGCCCGAGGAGCATAACGATTCGCAGAGCATAACGCCACGAGCCATCATATCCTCCTTCCAGAAAGGCCTCCGCACGAGCTCTCGCTCAACTCCTCTCCTACCCTGTGGAAATCCCCACCCGCACACCAATATTTCTCCTTTTCCTTAATCGAATCATTCCTCAGAACTCATTTTTCTTGTTTATCAGAATAGCTAATTCAGGGCCCAGATGATGGTTGTTTAAAAAAATCTTTTTTATTTGATCGAGTCACGATGAATCCAGTGAAGTCGATAACGTGAATGATCCACGAATCCCACTCCTCGAATCGTGACTATAAACGCACCTGTCCGACTTCTCCTTCAGTCCTAAACAAAGTCTTTTCATTTTTCGCGAATTTTTGATTTTTCATTAACTAGTAAACGAAAAGACACCTTTTGCCAGTCAGCCTGTGAAGCAGTGGTTTACGACTGCCCTGTGGTCATAAACTTCTGTCCATGGACTAAATAGCGAAAAATATTGTTGGTTAATCAGATGTGATGGATATTTCTGACGGCCTAGTGACGAAATGTTGTATTACGACACGGGGGTTGGTGGGGGCTGATGGGACCAGATGGGGCCTAATGGGGACTGATGTGGGATGAAGACTATGGGGATGAACGTTGGTGGAGTGACCAAAAAGATTAAAAGTGAAAATCGAACAAGTGGAATTGTTCGACTGGGGGGAAAAAGACCCCCTCCAAAGCGTGCCATATTCCCTCTTCTTCCAGCCATAAAAGACCCGCGCATCCCGTTCACCGCGTAAAGACACAAACATGGTATAGCTCACCTACATGTAGCTCACCAACGCGTAGCTCACCAACTCGTACCTACTTCCGCGAACTAGATCGTTGGCCAGATATTAGGAGCGCGCGTCTACCATTGCGGCAAGTGGTCATTGTCCACTCTGGCGCAGGAAGTTCCTCTCTACCTTTTTCTCTTGCTCCTTTTTACCCCACTTCCCCCCTATCGTTATCCAGAGATTTTGGATGGATAATTACAGTGAAACTCCCGGCCGTTGCCATTGTGTCAAGGGTTCTCGAGGTGTAGATAATTGCAATGGACGAGAGTTACTGAATAACGAGAGAAAAATAACAAATGTTGGGAAACATAAATACCACTGGCTGATGTACCTGATATTGTCTGACAGTAATTGTGGCTTTTTTATTTATTTACTTGGTTGAGGAAGAAATTGTTGACATTCTCTGGGATTTTCGGATTTGGAGATCCAGGGGATGATCGGTTTCTTCGAGGAAGGGGACGGGATTTCGGTGAGATTTTTACTACAATTTTTTTTTTATTTATTTATTATAACTATTTATATTTTGCTGCTCTCGACCCGTAGAGATATTCATTACTATTAATGTCGATTAATTACGCTGAGATAAATAATTCTGTTTGAAGTATATATTATTTATTGATATATTTTTCAGTTTCGATTATTCGAGAGACGATTTTCGTGGTATCTTACCGATTTTTCTTCGGGTGTAAGCGTTGTTGTTATGTTTTGGTAATTTTGTTGTCGGTTTTTGGCGGGTGGAGACGAGCAAGTCGGTGTCTTAAAATTGGAAGTAGGATCGTCAGGGCGGCACCTGACCGGAAAGCGTCACAGTCAACGAATACAGCCCCGTTCTTTCTTCCTCTTACTTTGCCCATTCCTTTTTTTTTCCAACTTTTACTCCACCTCCGGTATTTCCTTCTTCCTACGTTCCTCAAGGGGTTGATGGGCCGATGGAACGATATGTGGTGGCGTGCCGAGGAAAAATCTAAAACATCGCGCTCATAATTAGTGAAGTAATTATGTACACAACAAGTTTTCATGGAACAATTTCAAATTTGATTTCAAGTGATCCCCGGGAAAATTATTAATCAGGAATTCATTAAGCTGAATTCACAATTTTATTCAGCTTCAATCCAGTTTATTATTTATATTTAATATTAATATTAGATCATTTAAACTCGCTTGTTCCGATTGTCTGCACTTTTTTAAAGATAAAAATTAAATATAAATTAGCACAAATTAATTAGAGATTCTGATATTTTTACGTGACTGTCACCTACAATTCTCTTGGAATATCAAATGAGAGTGTTAAACTAAAATAAAAATTTCGGTTAATTCTGTAATTTTTTGTAAAATAGCGCTGAATTATTTCCTCTATTCATCAGAATAAATTCAGCAATAAACTTTGTTCCTTGTGTTCTGAATTAAAGGCCTCATAAAAGCAGGATGTTACACATAGACTCATACAAAGTCCACATATCTGCTTCCATAAATGAGAGTGTCTTCATTCATAGACAAATATTTCCATACAATTGCGGCTATTGGCATCGTATCATCTGATATCTCTATCATGTACAGCTCACGTGCGTTGCATATGTACATAACACCATTATATACAAATTTAGTAAATGTTAATGTGCACTGACTGCTGCCTCAATAAACGGGCATCGTACTCTTTTCTACCCCCAGATATCCGGAGAGTCATATAAAAATTCATTCCGGCTTGGGACGATGCTAGTCCCGTGTCATAAAAATAGTAAGGAGATTGAAGAAAATTTTATACGATTCGATGGTGGCTTGTCGAAAACTATTGCTCTAGGTATTCAGAGGACGTACCCGATGTACACAGGAAATCTCAAATGCACCCACCGAAACACCCCGCCCTCAGCGGACTCGATTTAATGTTCCGTTTCCTCTGCTTTGCGATAAGGGGCCCAACAATTTTTATAGAACACAACGTCCGTCGCAATCGTATTTTTATTACTATAATACCATCCTAACGAGTACAAAAGAGGGCGTCTTCCGACGAGTTACGGTCTATCATTCGAAAATATCATCTAGGAACACCGGAATACGTATTTGATAGCAATACGACTCGGTGGAATGAATAACTAATAATTCCACTATTTTTATGAATTATTCCAAAAGAGTCCATAAATTTTTGAGCGAACCTCCCTATAAGAAAATTTAAGTCCAAAAACTGGGGGAAATACGTGCGACATAAATCTTATATATTTAATATATTCCCTCATATATATAATTTTTATTTACATATGAGATATCATTATACCGTATTTATGATATCAAAGAATATAATATAAATATAAATGTGGATTCAAAAATTTTTTTCCTTACGTTTTGATATATGGTATATATCTGGTATATATATCGAGATATTTCGGAATATATCATATATGGTACATATAAAATTTATAGAGAAATGCATGTTTTTTCAACAGAGTATAAAAAACCCACGAAATGACTCCCCCTTCTTCTCCCCCTCCTCCTCGCGGTACGTTATACCCTTGCACCGAATGTCTTCATCCAGTACCACTGACTTGCATATTCATTTTTTCAAGCTTTCATACGCGAATTGCATATGCATGAACTCGTATTTCGCTATGATTTCTAAAAAAAATATATCTCGTAAAAAGTCATATCACGTGTTAGAAAATGACCCTTTAAATTTCAAGTGAAAACTCTGAATTTTCAAAAGCCGATAAATAATATAATTATTTTGAGTAATTAAAAATAGAGTATACTTGAAACCTGCAGTATATTGCTCATATCAAGTGTGAAGTATACTTGATTCTAGTTTTTTTTTTCTGGGGAGATGTGATCCTGTGATTTTTTGAGTGAACGAGGGAAGGAAAAAAAGGCGAAATAGCGACACGAATTTCGCAGGATTCAATCTAGGTCCGCGATTGGCGAAAGGTATATAGAAAAGCCAACGCACTTGCGCATTAAAGGGCAATTAGCCGCGGCTCGCGAGCACGCTGATGCCCGGAAGTGATAGAACACACCGCGCGTGCCATCCTTACCTGACTTACTTTACCTCAAGCTACTCGACTTACCTTACTTAGACTCATATCCGACACTGTACACATCGTCCATTGCGGGAATAACCGACTATTGGCCTTCGCCGACGATATCCTCGCGCAATAAACCACCGTGCACTCTTCTATATTCGTTATATCGCTTATATACTAAAGAGGAGAGGCCATGTACAACAACTCGCCTCATTTCTAATTACGCTCACTCAATTATCCTCCGAGGATGATCGTTATCACGGGGAATGGCCCGAGTTGGAAAAGAGAAATATATTTTCCGATTCCACGAGATAGATTTTTCAAGAATTATCCAACCTTATTCTATAATTATACTAATTCTATGAAAACGTCAACATACGGGCTTCTCTACATTTGAAAATATTTTTATAAAAATACCTGTTGAAAGTTCATCGGAAATACTCTATAATATTCTAGAGAACAAATTTATGTAATGTTTTTTTTTCTGTATAGTTTCTTTAGCAATAATTTTAGAAGTTGTTTTCTTTGATTATTGGTAAAACTGAAATAGTAATTAAATAAAAATAAATTAGTAAATTTGAATAGAGGAAAATTATACAGAAAATATTTTTAGAGAATAAATTCTATGGAAAAATCGAATTTTATTGAAATTTTCGCGTTCATGTTTGAAAAACTCACGGTGTAATCGAAGTTTTTTAATTCAGTTTTTTCAGTTCGCTATATTTTTCGAAGATGGAATTTCTCAGGCCGATATATGAGAATCCGGGGATTTGGAAGCTCGGGGAATATACGGGAGTCACCCGATACAATACCTTTCGGCTTTTCAGAATGAACGAACATTACCAGGGCATCCATAAAATAAACTGGTGAGCGTTATCCAGTTTATGCTGATCGATTTGGCATGATTTTATAACTTCACCTGTCTATTCGCTAGTCATGAACCCAACCAATAGCCCCCGATCAAACGAGCCGCGATCCTCTTTGTATCTGTAACATAAACTTGAGAACAAGTTCATGCAATATATTCAGAACAATCATCCGAGCCGAATGCTCCAACTAGAAACAGTCTTGTTGAATTTTATGGTCTTCTACGCTGGTCGTGAAAAAATTCTCATGCCCTTCGTCCAATTTTCTGGATTTCACAGATATTCCGAGGCTTATAAAGACAATACAAAATTTATTTCAAGTTTCTTCACCCCTTTTACATCGTAAAAACCGTGGAATGCATGGACAATAAGTTACAGAGAAGAATCATTGAGCACTTTTCATGAACCATCGTTATTATTTTTATCGTTTTTATTGCTTGAAATATTCAGTAGTCGATCACACAAATGTCATTATTCTCAATGGATATTTTTTGAATTTCATTTCCCGGAAAGTGATGAGATTAAAATCTTGTTTTTGTGTTCATGCATTAATCCAATTGATTTGAAATTGTGGGAATTTTGCAAACTAGTCAATTCAATATTCAATTGATAAAAACAAGATGGAGAACTTGAGGCTGATTGAGGTACAGGTGATTATTTAACCCAACCCAGTTTGGCTGAAATAAAAAAAAATGAACTCAGGACCCTTTCCATCCGTTCTTGTTTATAATCTGATTGTTATTACCCAACTTTGTTCAATTAACCGAAATATTATAAATTATTAGTGATGGACAATTTTATACACATTTACCTTCATTTTTATTGGACTTTCTATCTTTTTTTCGCTGGCTCGTTTCAAAAATTTATAAAAAGTATTCTATAACAAATCTCAGTACAGATTTTTGAATACGACTGATTCCACAGACATCTTTTCTGTAGAATTTCGCCCCTGATGTGATATTTCGAGGCTTATAAAGACAGTAAAAAAATTATTTCAAGTTCTTTTCTTCTTTTACATCGTTTACAAAATGTGGAATGCATGGACAATAAGTTACAGAAAAGTCACACATCTCGTTATTGTGGAAATGTGTGGATGAAAATTCCAATGATTCGTCAATGAGTTTTCTCTCGTAATGTTGCACCTCAGATCAAACAATTTGAGCCAGTGTGCTCATTAGAATTGTTCGGTGTGGGCTCAGCAGCAAGTGCCAGCACCTCTTCGCAAACCCGTTTGTACACCCATGCATCACCTTTCAGCCTTTTTCTTCGTATCCCAACTAATGGTTTTCCATCGGAAATCCCCTCCAGCAGGCAGACTTCGAGTTGAAATCGACAGGCTTTCCTTGTGCCAAAGGGTCTGCCACATTCTTTAACATTCTCGGTATTACCACTCTCGGTTCCTCCGGTGAGAGTGAAGCCCTTCTGTCGACAAGAAATCCCTTTTCTCTGGAGGGCACGTCGCAACTGCTGCAGAACGTACTCTGGGGAATCACTGGATGTCGATGAAATATTGCAGAGACCTTTGCCGGATAGAACGATTGGCTGATCTGGACTGTTTTCCTCGGGTTTCATTCGTCGTTTGGGTGTCAGGACACATCTCATTTTGTTCAAACCTCTTTCCAAGCCCATTATTACTTTTTTTGCACTTCCTGGGGTTGATTGAATGTCTCTGTGATAGGAAAATTGGAATACCACAATTTATTCAGAAAACAAATAGAAGTTATTGAGTTGTTACTCTACTGAGTCTTAATGCGATAATTAAAATAAATAAACATTTTATTTACTTGGAATGCGTGGCAACTGGAGTTGATGGTGTCGCAGCTCCTCTCTCATCGGCAGTTTTTTTCGCAGGAACTGAATTATTTAAAAATAATTGTGATGAGTGGAAGATTCACAAAATGTGATTCTACATCACGGAATATTTTAGACTTAAAAAAAATTTGAATGTTTCATATCGAACTGAGAAAGTACTAGAAAAAAGATCTATTATCTTTTCACCGAGTTAATTACCCACTGGAGGCTGTGCCTCAGACATGGCACGCAGTATCATATATTTTCACGCTAAAGACTCTAACTAGGTACAACTTTTTTTTAATGAGAAGTAAGATGCAATGAAAGTAACTGTAAGTTTAATTGCTTTCGTATCATCCAGTTAACTCACCGGGTGAAGATAGATCGTCCTCCTCTCTGGAGCGAAGTCTTTTCCGTCCTGGAGCCGGTGGTTCCATTAAACTTTTCGGGGGATGTCTCTCTGATAATTCAAAGTCAATCGTTAGGAATCGATAAATTCAGTGGAAAAATTAGCGTGGAGTTAATAGTGCGTGATATTCACCGGATTCCGGGGTCTTAGGGAGAACATTGTAGGTTTTTCCTTCCTTCGGAGATTTTCTAGGATCTTTTCTGCTTGGTGACTGATCCAATTGAGTTATAAAATTATTTAATGGAGGACTCAGGTAATTTTCGGTGTTTTGTAGTCGAAAATGAGACCGCGAAGAGCTGGAAATTCGTAATGATAATCCTTTTAGTTTTCGATCGAGGAGCAAAAGGTAAGTGGCCGTTCTGTAATCAGTTCTCGTACTCTTGGACAGAGCCTTCCAGATGTCCTCCATTGATTCACAACAAATAGCTGACATCGTGTTCAAAACTTCATCATTTCGTTCTAAATTAGTTTTCTTGGCGAAAGTCACTGGTGACAAGAAGCCAGCTGTTACCCAAGGGTGACAACAGAGTTCTTCAATGGTTATTCTCTTTTTTGGATCGATTTGCAACATTGCACGTATTAATCTTTTGCTGCTGGTAGACAACCAACCGGGTTCATCGTATTTGCCGCTAAGAATTTTTCTATACAAATTTTCAATGCTGTTATCGTCAAATGGAAGAAAGCCACACAAAAGTGCATATAACAACACTCCCATGCTCCAAATATCGACTTCTGATCCTAGATATTTTTTTCCAAGAATTAATTCAGGTGCCGCATAAGTTGGTGATCCGCAAGATGTATACAGGTGAGCCTGCATACCACCTTTGGGTTTGGCGCAAAGTCCAAAGTCTATCAACTTTAAATTTTGATCTTTGTCCAATAGAACATTCTCTGGCTTTAGGTCTCTATGTGCGAATCCCAAACTATGAAGATATGCCACAGCAGATACGATCTGTCTGAAAAACTTTCGAGACTCTGTTTCCGACAGTCGGTTTTTCTCAACTGTAGCAGAAAAAAGATAAATTAAAAATAGTAAACAGTAATTAATTAACCACAACGAGAATAAGACTGGAAATCAATTTTCGTTGAGCACACATTGAAAATCTCCATTCTTCAGTCGAAATGCCGATTTCTCGATTTGAGTCGAAGAATAATCAAATCATGAAGGAATAAATTGTCAATCAATTTAATTAATTGAAACGGCGAAAATTTATGGGAAGATTTTTCTTCTTCGAGTGTACAAAAAATGATTTAGCATTGGATTCCACGGTCGAGGAAAAACATACCGATGTGATCGAAGAGTTCACCCCCTGAACAGTACTCCATAACCATAAAATAATGACTGTCAGTCTCGATTGTTTGATAAAGTCTGCAAATGTGTTGATGCACCAGAGTCTTCAAGGCGTCAACTTCAAGTTTCACCCTTGGCAGATCATCCTAAATTCACCACGAATTAAAAAAAAATGCAACCAAATAAAATTAGACTTCATTGGGGCAACTTTTAGAAATAATTTTATCGTCTCTGTTCAAAGAGTTATGACTAAAAATATACGTACCCCAAGTGCCGATTTTTCCATAATTTTCACTGCTACCTTTTCTCCAGTTGCAACATGTATTCCAAGTTTAACTTTGGCAAAACCACCACAACCAATTGTTTTATCGAGCTCATAAAGTCCCTTGAGCACAGCGTATCGAACCATTTTATCATTTGTTGACCCCTCGCGTTTGTTACGAATTGATCCAACAGAACAATTTCTCAAAAATACTTGATACCCATCAGCATCACAAAACACTGCTAATCACCTGGACATTTCAAATAAACAAGTTGGTGAAAGTAACGTAAACCATGGAGAATTGAAATTAAAAGAGTCACGCAGAGAGTCACGTCCAGGGAAAAATATTGTGCGGTAGAAGAACGAAACATTCTGAAATAAACCGCTCAAACACGACACAAACACTCGTGGATAACAATGTGCATCTGTCGGTAAGCGAACGGCTCCACATTTCGCCTAATTTTTGTCTAATACTAAATTATGCTACAAGTGCGGAAAGAACCGCTTTCCGCACGCCCGCGTTAAAAATTCTATTTTTTATCATACGAGCAGTGTATTTTAAATGAGAAATTGATCATTAAAAAATTCTTCCTTGCCGACCGGTGGCGCTCATCCACCCACGCATTGACGTCACAATTTGCGCACAGATGCAGCTGACAAGTCTGATAAGTCCCCTCCTCTGTACACTATTGCCAACAAGTAAAGTGCGTATCGATTTACCTCAGTAGTGATAAGAGCGTGCGACAGCCGACAGGTGATTGCACCACGTCGTCCGACGACCCCCAATGCACAAATTGGAAAGCAACAATTAGCTCAAAAATTATCTCAACAATGAATAAGTGCATTTTATCCGTAATCGTGATAGTAACCCTGTTAGTTGACAAATCGCAATGTTACAGCATCGAAAGATATCCACTGCTGATGCCAGATGTCAAGCCGAATATTGTACGTAAATTAAAAAGGTGAGCGCAATATTCAAATTCTTTAAATTAAACTTATTGATTTCGATTCAGCCCGAGCTGTACCTCTGCACACCTATCAAGGTCAATTCAACGACGAGTTATTACATCGTGGGGTTCGAACCCAATGCCACCATGAATACAGCCCACCATATGATTCTTTATGGGTGCAAAAAACCTGGAGCTGCTAAGGGTGTGTGGAATTGCGGGGAAATGTCGAGATCTGGAAATGATTTGAAAACAGCTGCTCCCTGCAGTGAAGGTTCCGAGGTAAATGGAAATAAATCAGGAATTACCGATTCGCTCTTAGGGTGACTGATTCGAGGAAAATTATATAACTCATTTTCTTAGAGGAAAAGATTATTTTTATGTGCTGTGTAGATATTTTTTTAAATACCATCTTTCCATATTGATTTATGACTTGAAAAAATATTACTCAGAATCCTGGAATGAAGTACCTTTTCTCGAATGTAATAAAGAAGTCGTCACCTTCCCACCCATTTTTCGATCTCTTGATGTAAAACCATATTCTCCTGATTTCAAACTCCAGATTATTTACGCTTGGGCCCGAGATGCACCTACCCTTTCGCTCCCAGAAGGAGTGGGTTTCAAAATTGGACGTGACTCTGCAATCGAATACCTAGTTCTCCAAGTCCATTATGCGCACATCGAGCCCTTCGCCGGTGGTAAAACCGACGACTCCGGAATATTTTTGCGATACACCGATGAACCAATGAGCAAATTGGCCGGTGTTTTTGTCCTGGGCACATCTGGGCTCATTCCCCCGATGCAAACCGAGAAGATGGAGACAGCGTGCACCATAAAAGAGGAAAAGACTATTCATCCTTTTGCATACAGAACGCACACACATTCCCTCGGTAAAGTTGTATCTGGCTACGTAATCAGGAACAATGAGTGGGTGGAGCTGGGGAAGAGAGATCCTCTGACACCCCAGATGTTCTATCCCATCCACAACAACATGACCATCACCACCGGTGACACTTTAGCAGCGAGATGCACGATGCTGAGCAATCGAAACAGATGGACGAGCATTGGATCGACCAATGATGACGAGATGTGCAATTTTTACTTGATGTATTACGTGGACCAAGGCGAACCTCTCAATACGAAGTACTGCTTCACCGAGGGACCACCCAATTTTTACTGGGAAAAAGCTGGTCTTGTTAATATACCCGATGTCGAGGCTTCATCATTGTAAGTCAATTCTCCAGATTTATCATCATGCATACGTGAGAGAAAAATCATTACATTGATTGAACGAATTAATACTGGATTTCGTTGGCGTCACTAAATATTCATTCGATTTATCACGGGCAATGAAGTATTTATTAGATACTACATATATTTGTGTTGAATATCCAAACAGATAGTTAATTAAAAATTATTTAAGCCTGTACTATCCATCGGACCTAATCTTGAATTCTGTCGTTTTAGTGTAAAATATTTCTGTATTGTGTTTGATCGATAGTACATGCGGGCCTTAATGAGAATTTGAAAGGTCTCAGGATGAATACTTACTCTACTTTCAATTCGGAAAGAATATTTGGCTCAAGAAGCAAATCATTCACATAATCTGACAAGCAATTTATTCTGTTGAATCCCGTAGGAATCGGTAAATTATTCTGTAATTGACTATCATACGTTCTGCCGTTCTCTTTTTCTTTTATATCTAATTTCTTTATAAATGTGTAACTTTTAATTCGGAGTGTTCGGCTGTAATATTTACATTTGTGGAGTCATTATGATGGAGAGACGCCTCAGGTTATCCAGTCACTTATTATGTTTCTACATGAAACAACTACATGAAGATACTTAAACTTCTGAAGACTTGAATTTATCTGCATAATACAGCACTCATCACATTACTGAGTAAACTCAGGTGTGTGTACCTGTTTGCATTCAACATGAAAAGTACGTAATACATTGTGGTGAAGCATAGATAACTCTGAGTAGGAAAAAATGGCGGAGGAATATTTAATTCCTGAGTTGAAGTACTTAATTAATGGCTGAAATGAAAATGGAGATGGGAATCAAGCGGGGTGTCACATTGTTAAGAATATTTTATGGAGTGTTGATGTTTTTTGGAGTTGAGAGACATTTCATTTTACTACTGCACTGATGAATTGCAATTTTTTTTCCAATTCATCGCATAATTGAGAATAATTTTCATAGAATCAATGAATTTTCATAGAATAATTTTTTAGAATTTACGGTTTTTACTGATTTTTTATAATTTACCCTCGAAATCACAGCACAAATTTTTTATTGAATAATTCTGGCGCACAATCATTCCCAATGATTCTTAATCGTGTGTGCAATTTAAATAGCAAATGGGAGGAATTGAGAATTACTGATTTTCAATATTGTCATTTCTTGTGATGTAATTTTTCCGATGAAAATGTCTGGATTGGAGAATTCTGATTAATATTTTTAAAACTGCAACAATTGAAATAATAATTTCTATTCTTTGGTAATTGCAGAGAAAATGGAATTTAATTTGCGAATCTCTCAAATTGGATCTAAAATGTTTATAACTAACGCAAGTCAGTATTGGATGTCAGACATCCCCTGTTAATTATTTTATTTTTACCAAGAATCCTCTTATTTTGCCATGCATTTCGACAATCTTTATTTATTAGCATCATCTACGATGCATTAATGAGTGAGGACTTGATGCTGGTGCTGTCAAATAACGTCATATCTTCCACTCATACGTGGTAATTAATATTGGCCGAGTGTATATTAATGAAAATCTTTGATGTGTGTGCATTATTAATCGTGAGTAATGAAGGACGAGAAAAATAAACTCTGTGTACCTATTGATATAAAGCAAGACGTATTTTTCTCTGCTGTACATGAAAATTAAATATATATGTATAAATAAAGATGACTTATATATTAAAATTCGTTCTTTTAATTTCGCAGGAAAACAATTAATATTTATTAAGCAATTTACTGTAGTGTAAAGATGGAAATATGAATGAACAATAAATACCAGAAATTATTATTATATACAATCATCAAGTTCATCGATTCAATCACATTAAAATGTTTTTAAATAATTGCAGACTATTTAGCATTAGGCAGTTGTCCAATTATTAACGACAGAGTCATCACGCATATCGCAGTTGAAAGTAAAATTGGGTTGCAATCAACGTGTGAATTGAGTCGACTCATTATCCACAAACGAGTTGGCAGACGGGTGAAAAAAAAATCCCCGATGTGTCTCGGCGAATGGTTTACAGCCCCGAGATTCAATAAGCAATAACGAATGTTGGATAAGCCAATGGGGAGCATAAATGCAACATTCTGACAGTGTAATTGCCTGGAGGAAAACGATAAACGACTCAGACGACTCGAAAGTGAGACCTCGATCACGTTCCACGGTCAACTCTCACAGGGCTTAGGGGCTTGGCCTAAAACTTCATTCGATACTATCGTCACCTCATCATTATCCGTATATAGATTTGTATCCTTTGTAATTCAATATGTGACAAGCACATTTTTCACCTCCAGTGCAAATGCAGATATGAATTATGAATTGTTTTCAGTGAGTGGCGATAGTTGTGGTACACTTAGAGAAATTTCCACCGTTAGATTATCTACAGGGAAAATGTATTATAAATTTATTGTTACGATAAGAAGGCTATGTAGTGGGGGTTTGAGGTTTTTTGCGAACAATTCGGTTGTGAAGTGGTAAAAGACGAATTACGAAGTGCATTTTTATCGAGTTCAATTTTTACGCAATATCTCGAAATTGAAGGAAGATAACGATTTTTTTGTGAATACCTTTTTTATAGGTCTCATCCTGTTCTATAGAAAATGTTGATATGAAAAATTCGCCATCTTCCTTCAATTCTGAGATACCGGGTAAAAAGTGGATTCGGAAAAAATGCACTTATCCTAGTTTACCATTTCGCTACTGAGTGATGGAGTTCAAATTTTTATCTATTACCGATATCTTTATTTTTATCACGATCAATGATTTCGAAGTGAAATGACAGATCGACCACACGTGGACAGGGTGAGAGGTGATATGCGATTGGTGAATGAGCCATCTGTAGCTTTAGCGAGTGCTGAAGAAAACATGAGAAAAAGCGATGAAGCGCCGGCCGGCAGTCACTCAGCCAAGACTGCCGATCGCTCAGTATTTCGCTGAGCTTTGAGCAATACGGTACCAGCAATTCCCTCAACCAAACCAACTCTGATCTACTCTAATCTCCTCTGATCTCCTCTGATCTGCGATCTCCTCCGATCTCCTAAGAACCATGACTATCAAATACCGATCCCATCGTTGCTGAGTCCTCAAAATTAGTGGTGACCATTTTTATCAGTTTCGCCGATTTTTTTGGAAAACTCCTGGACTACGGAATTTACTATTCAGGTTTGTTCATCAAATTTCATTTGTTATTTTAATTTATCATTACAAAAGAGAGAAACCCTCAAATTTCATTAAAACCTCATTGCTATTTATTTTTTACTCCTATTATTTATTGTCGTTAATTGTTCATATTATTTCGGTTTCAATAGTTGATTCGTAAGTCACGATTTTATTCGAATCGAATGATCACTTTTTGGTTTTTTCTAATTTTATTATCAATTTTTTATTTGATTATTTATATAATTCGATTTTTTAATTGAATGAAAAAAATCGTTTTACAATTGGTAGTGATTTTTAATGAATAATTACGCGAATATATGAGAATTGAAGATCCAGTAGTTTTTCCGATTTACTGCCCATGACCGATCGAATAAATTAATGTAAAATAAAGATAAAAATCGTTAATCGACTCATGCTGCTGTCACCCATACATCGATCCGGTTTTCTCAACAGCGATCCACTTTTTCGGGAACAACTCCCCAACGATAGTGAAACTCTGTAATCTACAGGATTTAATTAATCGGCACACATACTCGCTCCCATTACTCAAATTACCGTCATTCCTGATAAAATCGCGTGACAATTCCATTCCAATTGAAAATACCCCGAAATTATTCCGAGTCACATCACGCGTGTAACACTATTACTTGACACTTGTAAAGAGAGAGATGCATGATGAAAAAAAAAAAATAGAAATTTCATTGCACGCGAGTGAGAGAGGGCGGAGGCAGGTGGCTTGCATACATAATGCTTTTTAGCTAATATAGGCCATGGCGTGATGACCCACACAGAGAGAAATTTATTTAACAAATTACCCCACACCCGGGGAAATATGCAGCCACAATTACCGAATAAATCGATCAATCAAAAATCCGCAAATCGTCTTCCGGATATTTTGATAGGTCATCACATACGGGCGCGTGGAAAAAAATTAATTCGATCAATAAACTCTATAACAATATATTCAATATGGTCCTCATTTATTTATTATTTATTTATTTGTTTGCGCCTTTTTATTCCCTAATAAAAGTGAAGAGAAATCATGACTAATACATTCGATCACGGAATAAAATTTAATTTAATGTGAATATCGAATAAATATACAAATATATTCTTATTTTATTTTTCAATAATTCGTTGTTTTTGGGGACTAGTCAGTTATTTTTATTTCTGTTGCGCAAAATTTGCCAATCAGGGTAGACAAATAACGGGCGATTTTTTTTCATACGGGTAATTGATTCTGTGAACACATCGCGGTATTTATGTGGCAATTTGGAGAATTTAAATTCTCATTCACGTATTTTTTATTGAATTTTTCTCGCTGTGTACCAGAAAATGCAAGTAAGAATTACACAATGTTTTTATTGAAATTCCAGGGAAACATTTCCATTTTTACGGAACATTTTGAAATTTTTATGGATTGCGACTAATTCTTTTAAATAAATTTCTCTCTGTCCAATCGGCTGTGAGTCCTCGGTTTCTTTACGCTCGTTTCTCTTGGTTTTTCTCATGATTTAGCAGTATTCATTGTGATTGAAAATAAAATCGGTACATGAGAAAAAACTGTCGATGGAGAATCTGAAGGGGAAATCACGGCTGAAACATTTACTATAAAACAATGAAGAGAAATCTGCGTAATTCGGATGAATTCGGCGATTTGCGTGAAAAAATTTTGAAATAATCCATAACGCATCGTCTTAATTGCAAATCTGAATTACTTCACGTAATGCTTGAGCCCTCGTTTACTAGAATGTTTTGGCTTTCAATAATAGACTTGTCATGTTTTAAACATTTAACGACATCTGAATTTCCAGGTTAAGCAATTAAAATAGCCGTCAAATTTATCAAAGAAAACGGCTTTCTTTCCCATTCCACAAAAAAAAAATTCGCTGAGTATTGATGATATTGTAATTCTAAAAGTCCGTGAAACAGATGATCAAATTTTCTAAAAATCGATTTCTCTGGAAAATATAATTGTAAATTTGATTCACGAGGAAAACGATTAGCAAATTCTAGATCATGTTAAGTCATCGATCCTCCAGTGTCAGCCCTTCCGAGATTAATATCGACAATTAGTCTTCAACACTTTACAGAAAAAAAAGATTCAATTTCCGGATAAAGTTGAAAAAAGTTACCCACACACACACCCACCGACGGAGATGCTCCAAAAATTGTATTTTGGGACTTTTTGGGTCTTAATAGATGTGTCCATCCATTACAAAAAATGTAAAACTTAAATCTGATCGATTACAATGCTTCCATTCGGCTGGAGTCTCTCTACGCTCCATTTTTATTGCATGAGGGCATCCCTCAGATGACTGGATGAAGGATTGATGAAGGATCCTGATAAGGAGGGCTGGGAATTGAATACCCGGGTATACTCTCTACTCATTCGTCACTCCCAGCGTCGTCTACCGTTACCACGTGCTCTCGTCCCTCTTTCCTCTCCTCGCTATCACGTATTCAATGGACTTGTTCCCATATCTTCTTTTCCTCTCAAAATCACTTGCCCATGTAATGCAATCAATTCCACTTCCCACCATTCACCCGTTCCATTTCTCTCACAAATTACATCGAATTAACATAATCACCGTCTCCCCTCATTTTCATTATTTCCTCCCTTTTCACTCCACCCAGCTTCATTTTTTCCCTCATTAATTCGCTCTCACCGTCGGTGATCGACGGGTGAAACTGCCATATCGCTATTTAACAGATCCGTCTAAATGTTTAATATTTTTAACTTTTAATATTTTTTATGGGAAACCGTTGATGAAATTGATGTAAAAAAATATATCGTTTTTAAGGTTTATTATTATTCAATGTCTCGTGAAGTTTCTTCGCCGTGGAATAATTTTCCCACGTTGTCAGTGATTTTTTGCAAAAATTCACAAAATATTACCAGAAATTTACAAAGAAATATGAAAAATGAGAAGATATCGGCAATTTCAAGGATTGATCAATCCGATAATTAATCGATGAAAAATTGTGAAAAATCTAATGTTTATCGTTGACTCACTGTCCACTGATTGTTGAAAGAGCGTAAAAAAAAAAGTAATCCTCAAACAAGTGCAAAATTGTGTGGAGCCCCAGTGCCAAGGACTTTCTCGTCGTATATATCTTTCGGATGAGCGTTTAAAAGTTGTTACGATGTCGACTTGGGTCGTTCGCACACGTTAAACGAGTCTCAAATAAAATCATGAGAGACTAGGAAACTCGTTTTGCCCAAGGGGGGAATCGTGAAAGTACATGTAGTAGTGAAGATGCCAAGACAAGGTCGACATTGACAATCAGAAGATGTTCAATGACACCAAGAGCACAGAATCCCTCATGCTAATCCAAGTTATTGATCATCAATTTTCCAGATGATGAAAAGTTTCCCGATGGCCAGGAAACTCTTCATCTGGTGCTTCATGCTCTGGGGGACCTGCCAGTGCTCCAGCGAGTCCTATCAGCACAAGAGTGGTGAGTTATTTTTTTTTTCTCAATGAAATTCTTGAGATTGTCCGGGGATTTTTTTTCTCATCATTCTGGTTTTTGGCGGAGGTGAGGAAAAAGTTGAAGAAGCAGAGGAGACCGTCAAAGAGTATAGACGAGTCTCAGGCGTGCGCGGTTGTAACGACGATGGGTCAGTAGGTCATACTCCACTTGGTGTTAAGAGCCCTGCTTGTCGTGGACACGCGTTCCTTTCTGTCAGAAGCCTTGATTTTATGTTTAATAAATCTGGGATCAAGGGTACCTCCTTTTTTTTTCTACATTTTTGGGGCTACGGTTCCGAGGGAATGCGAGGTGCGGAGCTACAGGTGCCGTGCACTGAGAAGAAAAATCTCTGCTCTGAAGAATATTTACTGCGCGTCACTAAATTCTTAGGTTTTTGCCAAATAAATCATATCGTGAAATAAAATGTTTATTGCGAGGTAGGATTTTCGAGAACCAATCAATCCAAATTACAAAGTTCATCGACTCTTCATAAAAATTATCCACCGCGTTGTGAATAATATTTCATAATTTATTGGCAGTCACGTAAAAAAATGTATATTATGAGAAATATTTTGTATAAATTTGGAAAATTGAGAAAGTTAAAATACAAATTAAAAAGCGTAGCCTAGCCCAAGCAGAGGGCAAATAAAATAATCATCAAACGTTTGTGGCACGAATACCAGAAGTTAGAAGAATCACCCCGAAAAAGAAACTTCCCAGTGAAAGCTAGTCACCTCTGATTTCATGACCGCAGGCATCAACGAGAGTACGCGAATTTTCTCCCCCCGTATGGACTACGACGAGTGGACGCCCCTGGGCCGGGGAGATCCCCTGAAGAACGACCCGACATTCGACTACGTTCCCCCAGTATTGGAACGAGTGCAATACTGGTTGGGCGACACGCAGACAACAGAGCCCTCCTCTAAGCGAGACGTCCTGGTGCTAGGAGTGACGGCTAAGAAGACAAGTCCCCAGATTCCCGAGCACTTTCTCAAGTTCATGGACACACCGAAGCACCCGCCGACGTACTTGACGCGCGACTTCACCGGGAGCACAGGTGCGGAGCCCCCGAAGCCACTCCGCACCACTAAATTTCGTAGTCCACTAGACTTCAAGCACCCGACGAAGGGCCACTACCCATCCCACCCGGAAACCAGCGATTATTACTACCCAGAAAAGCAAAAGCCCTACACAGTGATGCTCCCTCCGCCCTTATACTCCGTCGCCAACACTCTTCAGTTCGGACTGCCCCAGAGTCCGCAGAAGAAGTCAAATTACGACTCAAATGACGAACCCAACTACGAGCCAAACTCCTCGACAACGTCATCCTCGATCTCCTTCGAGAAGTCCAACTTGATTTATCATCAGTCAAGTCACCAGGCACTGGACTGGCCCCCAGGGAAGCCTCTACAGGCCTTCCACCGTCCGATTCAGGATAATTACCCAAGTAATTCGCCCTCCATCACCTGGCCAGGACCTTCCAAGGAAGACTCCGGCATCTTCGAGCGTGACCATCACCACGCAGCATCCATGAACCACGAGATCGTCGTCGGTCCCAATGCCAACATTATCGTCGACGCCGGGGACAGCGGTGATGCCAAAGAAATGATCGTCGTGGGTCACAAGTCACCGGACCTCAACATGTCTGTCATTCTGGCGAACACCTCGACGACACCTGGGGATTTCGAGAGCAGGGCCAATGTCACGGTGAGCGTTGTTATGCCAACAAACTACAAAGACACCACGAAGAGCATCTCCAGGGGGACGGAAGTACATTTGGGCACTACTTTTTCCTCGTCATCTTCTTCTACTTCTTCTTCTACTTCGACCTCTTCATTTTCATCTTCATTCGTGGAAATGAGTGCAACGACGCCGTTTGTCCCTTCGACGACGGTAGCACCCCCTCCGATCATGGACACGTCCTGGCAACAGGACCAGGCCCCACCCCCGATGTTTCCGATGAGGGCACCACCGAAGATCTATCGAAGACCGGGTTTCAATCATAGACCTCTGTTTGGAGGAAGACCTATGGGCTCGATGATGATGTTCAGCAATGAAGCCTTTCGACCTACCACAATCAGGTCGACCCTCGGGGCTCTCCTCCAGAAGGAGGCCACCAAAGTCACCACCCCAACAACAACAACAACAACATCAACAACAACGCCCTCTACGACGCTGATCGCTGACAGCTTCACAACAGATCCCATATTTTCGCATTACAAGCAACCAGCAGCCCCTCTTCATGGACCCCCTTACTTGATCATCCAAGGGCACTCTAAGGTTAAGACTTATAAACCCACGATTAGCAAGCATGGCGTACCCCTGCCAATGGAAACCACCCTGAGACCGATTTCCAAGTTCGAGCAGTTTGTTAATGAAAATACCAGGCGGATGGAGATCAAGACCACCACTGAAGGGATTCGACGGGAAAACAAGAACGATAGTCTGCTTAATCTAGTGCAGAAGGGCGTCAGTGCATTCACTATTTTTAACGAGTGACGCGATATTAACAGTAACGAAACAATTTACACTTCAAATACTCTCAAACTGGGGAGAAACCTCGACTACACACGTATCTACCGTTTGAAAGTCCACGGAATGTCCAATAAAATCGATAGAAATAGATATAACAATCGGGAAATCGTTTTATCAGATAGTACCAGTGCCAGTATACGATATGGATGAATATTCCTTATTGATAAGTATTTAATATTAACACTAGTCTTATCTTTCTTAATCAGTTACCAAACAGTATACGTTATAATTATTAACACACTATTCGTTTTATTTATTTAATTGTGTTATTTATTAGATTTTAGAAATTTATATTGAAATATTCCATTGCCTTTATTATCATTTAGTTTACCCAGGTAAAAAAAAATTGTAATCGGAATATTTTTTCCAAATTTTCAAAACATTTTTCGAAAACTTTTCAGAAAATTTTTCTTTTGAAACAAAAAAAAAATCGAAAAACAAAACAGTTTTATTTTTGGAAAATCTTTTGAAAAATTTTCCAAAAATTTGTTTTCGAAAATTTTTTTTATATTCTCAAAAAAGACGTGTATATTTTATGATTATTATTATTATTGTTCTTAGATCTTATATCTCGTCGTTTTATTCAATGAATTAATTTATTATCATTAGTACGTGTTGTGTACTGGTATCAATACTGTATATCAAGCTTTAAACGTTGTGCCGTATATTATACAATGCTATTTTTAAATTTATGCAGTGTTAGTTGATGAATACATCTGTGTAAATGTTAATCTTTAATTGCAATTGTAAATTAAATTTTGTACACGTCGAGAGACGATTTTTTTATGATGAATAAAAATCATCATATCATTTAATTTCAGATCACCATTTCTAATTAAGAGGGTGGCAACTGTTGCTAGAATATCGGGGTAAATTTGACTTGGAATTAATGTTTAATTAATTTTTTATGAATAGATATCAGCCAGTCAACCTTGACGTGAACAAAGATCTAGAGACGTTGTGATTTGTACGGGATATAAATCCTCATTGGGAAAACTGGAACGATTGAAAAACTAACCCAATATTGTGAATCGTTCTTTATACTGAATCGAAATACTTGGAAAATGTCTGTCTACTTGTTGCATCTATGTTACATCGGCTACTTCATTGCCAACGTGTCTTCCTTTGTCCGGTTTAAAATGCTACGTGAGTTCCAGAAACACACTGACAACTCTCCACGATTCTTCGTATTATCCCGCCCCGATATCGGGATCTTCATTCCTAAGGAGTCATTTCAAACACTTCCTGTCCTCACGGCGATTTCATGGTGAAGAGGCTTTTCCGGTTTGCCTTTTTTTCACTGGCGGTGGGAAAGTCGATTTTGGGAAGCGAAACTTGTGAACAGTTCAAAGGTATGTCAATACTTGTTCAATTTATTTATATATTATTTATTTATTAACTTCCTGTTCTATAGGAAGTTATTTATAGGATTTATTTTAAAACGCTCACGCACACTTCGATATTTCCCTGTGTCATATTACTAAAGGAAATTACGAATTTTTAACAGCACTTGCTAATTACATTTTATTGCTGATTGCGAATCAGATTATTGGAATTTATGGACACGGGGCTGGGGATTATTTAATGTCTCGGAAATTGAAAACTTACTCAAGAGTTTATCCAATATTTACCGTTTCATAATTTTCATATTTATGAAGGAAATTATGAATTAACGAAATGATGAACCGCTTGAGAATTATTACGGATTATAACGGATTGAATTACCAGATTCATAAAAATAGAAATTCCAAGTAGATAAATTCAATATTAAAAAGAGTAACTTTCAAATTACAAAATAGCTCTCTAAAATTATATCAATCATTTTCCAAATTTTCAGCGTCAATGTTTGTTTCTAAATTATAATTTAAAAAAATCAATAAGTGCTCCACTTTTCCCGTGATTTCAAAACTCGAAAGCAAGAGAGTAAATCTGAAAAAATTCGAGATGTTTATCCACGAGAATATCGACAAAAAAAAATCAGAATTTGTGGGGAATGATCGAGAACTATCGATACTTCAGCAATTCGTCTCGAGGCAATGGAATTCGCTCGATGGAGAGTTTCATTGTTCCCGAAACTGACGCGATGGAAATTTCATTCATAATTCATTCGTCGACCCCTTTACAATTTTATTTTATCGATGAAACGAGAATTATTGTAAATATGAGGGTCTTTGGGGCAGTGAGAAGCGACTGGACTGATGCGTGATGGGAAGTTTAATGCATTCAGTTTCACATTTTGCGGTCAGACAATGGATTTTATGGACGATAATGAAATACTGAACCAACTGAGGAAACAATGAGGCGTTATTATTTATTTGCTGAATAAATAAGATTCGAACGTTTGACGAATGGACACTTAACTTTCCTAAAAAGATTATCTTACCATTTTCTCAATTTTCTCCCCTTTCTTACCATGTTTTACGTCTTTCTCACGAATATTGTAATCTTTACAATTTTACTCTCAATTTTTTTACGATATAATTAAGAATAATCAAGCAACTTCAGCGTTCAGTTGAAAAACAAATATTACTTAGAACGGGACGTTTTTCCGATTAATGAAAAACGTAAAAAACTCGTCGGGTAATTAAAATAAGTTTATGAATCGTAAAAGATATTTGTACGGGTAATTTATGTAGCCCTCATCGCAAAAGTGAACGGTTTTTTTTCTCACTTTTCCCTTTTTAAAAATTTCCGCGCTCCGACGCATAGGAACCGAGATAAGCGCAATTTTATAAATTCGAAAAAAAATTGCACCTATACCCTTCCCTATAGGGAAACATGACTAAAAAATTACTGAACGAATATGTAAAATAGTTAGTAATTAGGACAGTAATTATCACGGGGATGGTTATAAATATAATGAACATAATCAAATAATTTTGTCGAGCGATTTAACTGTCTTTTGCACTGTGTCGATTATTATTAAAATTTTCTGTCGGTAACTTATCATTTCGGTAGAGTAATCATTACCTTAGGGATTCTTCATTCTCTCTACTGGCTATAAGATTTTCTTCATATCCTCATTCCTTCATCGGCTAGGTTAAAAACACGTGGGTTCGAATTAAGGAAGTGCACCAATATTTATTTCAGTCTACCAGTTTTAAATTCTTTATTTTCGGAGTGATTAATTATTGACATGTGAAAATGTCAAGGCTCATCGTTAAGAATTTACCGCCCAATGTGAGTATAAACAAAAAAATTAATGAAAATGGTCTCCGAAAATGTCAGATAATTTTATTATTGTTGGATAATTCTCTTACAGGTTACTGATACTAAATTAAAAGAATTGTTCAGTGAAAAGGGAGTTGTTACTGACGTGCAACTGAAGTTTACGAATGATGGAAAATTTCGTAGATTTGGATTTGTTGGATTCAAAACTGACGAGCAGGCGCAGGCTGCGTTGAATTTCTTTGATAAAACTTATATCGACACTGCTAAGATCACTGTTCAACTCTGTGCTGCATTGGGTAACTAGATTAATTAATTCCTCATTATGTGAGTCCTCAATGTGTGAATAAATATAATTATTCTCGGGCAAATTAATTAAAATTCCATCAAGAATCCCAACACCTGGAAAAATTATGTTTTTTGTATTTATCTGAAAAAGTTTATTTATTCTGTACTTTAATACCGTTTACCCCATAATTCAACGATATCAGGAGATGCATCGAAGCCAAAAGCCTGGAGCAAATATGCCCAAGACAGTACGGCCCATAAAAACCTCATAAATTCGGAAGAAAAACCTCAAAAAATTGAGGAAAAACCATCGAAAAAGAAGAATAAAAAAGCTGAGCAGAACGACGAGGTAAAATCCCTCATAGAAAAAAACAAAGATGATCCCTTATTTGTTGAGTTTATGGAGACCCATGGAGCAGACGGTTCAAAAATCTGGGGAAATGATACCGAACCCTCGATTCTGGACTCCCAAAAATTCGAAAAAACTTCAGAAGATGAAAATTCCGATGAAGAAGCCGAAGATTCTGACGACTCCGCCGAAGAGTCCGAGAAAAAATCCCAAAAACTCGCGGATAAGAAATTATCAGACCTTGACTACATGGAATCTCTCAAGAAAAAATCCCAGGACTCCACCGTAAAAACAAAAAACTCCACAAAGTCCTCAGGTCATGGTTCCACTAAATTTTACACCGTAAAATTAAAAGGGCTAGGTTACAATCACAAAAAGAAACATATAAAGCAATTTTTTCATCCTCTGAAAGCAAAATCAATCCGAGTCCCCCAGAAAATCAAGGGAATCGCGTATGTGGGTTTCAAAACCGAGAGACAACAACTTCAAGCATTGAATAGAGACAAGAGTTTCCTGGAGGGCAAGAGAATATTCATAACAAAATACGACGGTGATAAACAGTCAGAATTGAATCAACTGAAAGCATCTGACGGGAAACGCGATCCGAAATGGAAAAAGCAGGAAGAAGCCCTCAAGGATGAGGAGTCCATTGCCGAGTCCGGGAGAATGTTCGTGAGGAACTTGTCGTACTCGACGACTGAAGATGACGTGAGAGGGATTTTTGAGAAGTATGGACAAATTACGGAAGTGAATTTACCGGTTGATAAAGTTACAAGAAAATTGAAGGGATTCGGAACAGTGACGTTTATGATGCCAGAGCATGCTGCTAAGGCTTATTCCGAGCTTGATGGATCGATCCTAAATGGTAGAATGCTTCACCTACTCCCCGGTAAATCGAAACCTTCACTGACTGACCTGCTCCAAACCGCAGGTCTCACCTTCAAAGAGAAAAAAGAGATTGAAAGAAAAGCAACAGCGGGTTCCTCTCACAACTGGAATACCCTCTTCCTGGGTCAGAACACCGTAGTCAACGCTATAGCCTCCAGTTACAACACAACGAAGGAAAAAGTTCTGGAGGATGGAGGCAAAGGAACTAGTGTGGCTGTGCGACTTGCCTTGGGGGAGACACAAATCGTCGAGGAAACTCGTAAATTTCTAGAAGAAAATGGAGTGAGACTGGATGCTTTCAATCAGGCCCCTGAGAAACGTTCGAAAACCACTATCCTAGTGAAGAATCTTCCACCAGGGACCAAACCTCATGAATTGAGGGAAAAATTCAAAGTCCACGGAGAGGTAGGACGTTTGTTACTTCCTCCATCGGGTGTTACTGCTTTAGTCGAATTTCTTGAACCTTCGGAGGCTCGTAAGGCTTTTACTAGGTTGGCTTACACTAAATTCAAACATATTCCACTGTATCTGGAGTGGGCACCTGACAACAGTCTAACTCCAGCTGATAAAACTGTTAAAACAGAGAGTGAAGTAGGGAAGAGTGAGCGAAATATAAAAAATATAAAAATTAAGGAAGAAAAAATCAGTGAGGACGACGATGAAGATGATGAGCCAGAACCTGATACAACTCTCTTCGTTAAAAATTTGAATTTCACCACCGACGAAGAGACTCTGAATAAATATTTTAGCAAATGTGGGAAGCTGCATTATGCCACTGTCACCACGAAAAAGGATCCGAATAATCCTGGCCAGAAACTCTCGATGGGTTATGGCTTTGTCAGGTATAAATTCAAGTCAGATGCTGATAGGGCTCTTAAAGAACTGCAATTAACGACCCTCGATGGAAAAACACTGGAGCTAAAACGATCTGAGAGAACACTCAGGTGAGTTCTTTAGCATTTGGGGATGTCTCGTTGGGACTGGTTTAATTAATGACTTTATTTTTAGTTCCGATGTTTCAACGATGAAGAAGACGACAAAAGTGGGGGAACAGACTGGCACCAAGATTTTGATTAAGAACATACCGTTCCAGGCGAATGCTGACGAGATCACTGAATTATTCAAGTGAGTATTGGGGAAATTTCGATTGTTCTCGTGTAACTGAAGATTTAGTCCCAGTGGGAAATTCCCAATAGATTTTTTTCTGGCAATATATTCGCAACTGGAACTGATGTGTTTGATAGATGTTTGTGATTTTTATTTTTCAAGGGCTTTTGGGGAACTGAAAGCTGTCAGATTACCAAAGAAACTCGTGGGACAGGAAAAACACAGAGGCTTTGGATTTGTTGAATATTACACTAAAAGTGATTCTAAGGTAAAAAATTTATTGAATCATCATCCGAAAATTTATTGCATAAGCTTAAAAAAAATAGTTATGGCGGTTTGAACGTGATAGGAATAGGAATTTCGTGTCTTGCCTAAATTTCAGTATTCGTTCAATTTTCCCAGATGTCCAACCCAAATAAATTCCTCAACTTTCTTTTAAAAAATGATGTCTGCAAGCGAGGTGATTTTCACTTGAAATTTTTAAATTGTGTTTTCTACTTAGAGAGCCTTCAAAGCGTTGTGCCAAAGTACTCATTTGTATGGCAGAAGATTGGTACTGGAATGGGCCCAGGCCATTGAAGACGTGGACGATATTAGAAAGCGAACAGCAAAACATTTTCACCAAGGTATCAAACTTAATCCATTCCACTGACATTTTAAAGACATCTCACCACTCAAAAGTGATACTAATTTTTTAACACCATAAATAGTTAGGTAAATAATTTTATTTCACTGGATTCCAGAGTCATCGAGTAAGAGAAGTAAAAAGGCAGCACTGGATCCTGAATCTGTTGGACTAGCTACAGAATAAATATGAATTGATTGAAATATATAGCCTGTAAATAAAGTAACATTTATAGTAATTGACGAATGGCTTATTAATTCATCAAGGAATCTTGAATGATTCGAAAATGACTTTCGAAAGGAAAAATGAATGATGAAATTCTTTAGTTGTTCAATATAAAAAAAATAAGTTAGTCGAGAGGAAAATTTTTAATTGGCCTGGGTCTGTGCCAAAATTTCCAAATTATAATTGACTTTTACTTTCAATTTTGAGTGTCCTGTCACGTACTCAAAACAGAACTCTTCCCTCAATTTATTCTCTCACTCTCTCGATTGAATTATCGCGAGGCAAACAACCTCGGTTTTAATGTCATGTATCTGGGATTCGATTCTCGTGAATTCTCGAGGGATTGAATACATTTTGAATCGGTAATAACTACTGCCAATTAACATATTCATGGAGATTACAGAAATTGTGATAAATTGAATGGAAATTGTAAGAATGAAGCTGATCCTTTCATTTCTAATGGAAATTATTTACAGCTTCGTAAAAAATGAGATCCATTCCTGAAAAATAGTCTAGAGATGAATTGGCAATCTACAGTTTGAAAAAACTTTTAATCCCATGAATTGTAACAACTTTGTAAATTAGTCAATTCCTTGACATTCCATTGTCGCTTTAATAATATCTCATATGATTTTACCTTGTCTAAAGGACAAAAGTTGAACGCTGAAAATAAATTCTAAAAATCATCAATAAGGAAGAAAAATGTCTTCCTTTCACCTCCCTCACCATTAAAAAATCTGCCCCAGTACCTCGGATGAACGTTTGGAATGGGCAACTGGCAGAATCACGATGTCGGAGTCCTGGTGGGGCAGAATGAAGAGGTGGAGTTGAACCGGCAATGAACACCCATGAAAGTAACAGTGCTGTCTAGCACTTTGGTGCATGCGAAAGGATTTACTCTCGACTTCAGTCATTATTTCTGTGCCTCTGTGACTCCAAGATTCCTTCGATTATTCCCAATAAATCATCACTACAAATCATAACGAATCATTGCGAATCAATACAAATCATTACGAATCCAGAAATATAAAATTGCCAAGTGAATTTTTGTGTTCTGCTGTTATCATCGAGATGTTTTGAGTAACTCATCAATTTTTCAACGTTAAATAAGAGGAAGTCATTATCCATAATGAATTGGGTGAGTGCATTTCCTAGATTTCATAAATAATTCGGGGAATGAATACAATAATGTATGTTCGGTGAATGGAGAGTTTTCTTAACGATTCAGTTAAATTCTCAATCAATTTCATTATATTTTTTATTGTCGGTTTGTGAGTAGAGAAATAATTTTCTCTTCGCTTTGTGCAGATTTTTCTATTTCCTTTCCTCGTTGAGCTCTGTTGAGACAACGGATGAACTTTCGTTAGAAATACCGAGTGCTAGATGATTGTGTTGTACCGGAAAATTTCGTAATTGGAAATTTTTCAATATTGTGATGACACAAGAGAGGATTTACGCCAATCATTTGCCAAATCTCTGAATAAAAAATTGCAAATCGTATCAATAAAATATTTAATTGATTCCCTTTTCTCTCTGAATAATTTATTAAAACTAGAAATTTTGACTAGTCAATTTTCAATCATAATTTAATTTAATACCTCAAACAATTTCATAATCTCCAATCAATGTGTAAATAAGCAAGACAGTAGAAAATACATACACGCGCATTTCTATTGTCCCACATGTGAAAATCCCGACAATTTTCCCAAAGGCGAGAGACTAGCATTGCAAAATCATAGAAAAATTATAGAACTCCATCGGCTCACAAAAAAAATGTGATTTCTAAATTGTTGTGCAGTGCCAAGGAAAAAAAACTAAATAACAGATGTTTAGGAATTTTCATGATTTAGAAAATCAACACAATTGTATAACAGAGTAGCTGGCTGGGTCTGTACTTTAAGACAAATTTAATGCCGCGGAAATAACAATAATTAGGAAGAAGGTATGTTTGTGAAAAAAAATAAAAAATAAAAACAGTCGGTGGCTTTCGAGGAAAAGAAAAGTAGTCAATCGTCCACGTGCGTAGTTCGAGTGGATAGTGAAAGCTAGAACGATGATCTTTTATTTATACGGAGGGAGAATACATATGTAATCTAGGAAGAGATCATCCCGACGACCTTCGTTGCTCCATTAATGTAGTTTAATTAAAGAAAGATTAAATGATTTCACAGATTGCACGAGGAAATTTCAATAGCTGATTGAAATATGTATGTAATTATTTTTTCCACTTTTAAATAGTCATTAACATGAAGAGCAATCCTCTGTAAATGATTATTAAATTGAAAGGTCGTAGGAATTCTCTGGCTACATTTGCAACTTCTCGCCTTTTTTATTCTAAAAAATTGATGAGCCGATTGAATGCAATTGGTGAGGGTGAGGTGATAATCAATCCATAATTGATCAACCAAAAATATAATCAGAATTAAAGTCATAATTAAATTGACTATCGAAAACTTTTTCATTTACATTATTTCACTGAAGTCTTACCATTTACCAGAAAATTAACATTCTTCAAATTTTTTAAATTACTTTCTGTAAATAATTGGAGAAGTACTGGCCATCTTCACAAATTAATGAAGTTCATCTCAAGTGACTTATTAATGTGAAATGGAATAGCTTCATTTATCCAGGAGATATTATTATACAATTGTATGAACAATTTGTACTGGCAATTTTAGAGGACTAATTACTATTGCCATGGCTGATAATTGGTATCAGTATAGACCCCCTGGAATGCATGGGCAATTGGCAATCAATAAAGTGATTGACCTTCCGAATGGGTGAAAAACTCTTCAACAAATTCCTTCATACATGAATAATATCGATAAGAGAATAAATCGTGAAAGGAGAATGAGTGGAGTTGCAACAAAAGTTTATAGCGGTCGTGTTAAAATACGTATAAATTTAAATTGAAATTCCCGAGGACGTTCAGCTGGTTGACCTTTCTCCAGTGCCTTCAGGCATCCTGGACTGGTCGAGAATTACAGACTTGTGCTTCCCATTTCTTCATACATCGACAGGTCTTCCAGGGAATCAGTATGCTTTACTGTACTTCGCTATGGAAATCTAACGCCCAGAGGTCTTGGCTTCGTGGAATTTTCGATTTCTAAATTGTTAATTGGGGGTAATTGTTGTGGGAAAATAAAATCACCCGCGTAGAAATCAACGTCAGTTTAATTTTCTTAGAAAGTGTGGAGTACTGCCGATTTTATTCAAATTTTCGTGGAGAAATAGTTTCAGAATGTTCCGGTATTCAGACGGAATCTAACGTAATATTCAAATTTTAGATGTAATTATGTCTCTCAAATCGGCATTGTATTAATTTCCTATCAATTGAACTGACTGTTGTCTAATTCGTTAGTCTTGAACTGTTATCCGTGAATATCTGTGAATATCTCATGATTGTAATTGATTAATTTGAAGAATCAGTGGAATTAATTGCTTAGGCTATTTTTTTATGAATGGTACTTGTTCAGATTTAATTTCCGAACTGCTTGTGTGTTCGGTAAGAAATTCGTTCAATTTCATGATTTTTTTTCTGCATATAAACTGAAAATTCCACTCCCTGCCTCTTTCCCGGTTATTCACCTTATTTGAATATTTAACATGGTTTCCTCGCCCGTCCTTTAAGGATTACATTATGCATTACAGCAATAAAAAATAAAATGTTCTTGAATTTTTAAGATATTTACTAGTCAAATGGCAACTTTCATGAACGGCTGCCACTTAAATTGCATTAAACTTCAAAAATTCCATTAACTCAAATTTTTCACTCTTCACAGTGAATTTATGTCTCGGGTCGACCTGAAACTCATCAGAATCCTGAAGAAGAATCCTCTAAGTCAATTTTCACCGGAGTCCAATTTAAAATCCGGTTCAGCCTCGTATGGCGACAAATCTCAATTTTTTCCCCTCATCTTAAATTTCTGTTCCCTTTTTTTCTCCTCTTAAAAATGCATATAGTATTTCCTCGACCTTTCGGTGTCTCGAAAAGAAACCAGAATGCAAGAGAGCTGTGCTCTTCAAGGTCGTATGGCCAACAAACCGCATACATTTCAAAAGATGCAAATTATCCCTGATAGAACTTCATTTTTATTTTTTCTGTGCAAAAGACAGAGAGACTCAAATCATATCCTCATTTTTATCACGATTATAAATCTCTTTTAATAAATATTGACGTCATTTTGAAATTAACAAAATGTTAATCTAAGGCGTCGCCTCTTGCTCTATCAAGAGGCTATGGATCTGACTCACTTTTACTTTTAAACTGGAATTTGCTAACGGGTCTTAGAACACTGTTACATCGTAGGAAATAAATAAACAGGTCTTCTTATCATCTGGGTATATTTCAGTTGATATAACTAAAATTTTCTACAGTGAAAATTTGGAAAATTGAATGGAAAATTGAAAACATCGTGATGCAACCGTTTCGTGGATGATTTTACTGGAATTTAGGCGATGGTCATGATGAAAGAAGAAAGTACCGATGAGATTAATCGGTTTACCCGTCATTACGTCATTTTATTGATTCTAAAGAGAAAATAAGGAACCGATTTTCTCATTTTAGTGGAGATTTTTCATTGCGCTGACAGGGACCATATGGATATTCGTGGAAAAATCAGGAATATCCTTTCGATTCTGATTTCTTTACCGATCTTTCCTTTCACCCCAACCTTCATTCAATAAAACATCTCGACCGGCCAATAATTTCTAAATAACATTTTATGAGTTGCAGCGGTAGTTCCGATACACAAGTGTCAAAGAATTCAATCGTTCGATAAAAATCAAGTCAATGAAGAATTTCATAACGAAATTAATTGAGATACGTAAAGTCCATCGTTATTCTAGCGTAACGTAAAGTGGATTCTCGCACGGTGTTCTCCTAAGCGTGTTACATTCATTAAAACTCCCACATGCTCATTACCGTGTTTGGAACAAAGTAAGAGCCTATCATACACGCAGAATATTCCCAAGAGAGTTCTATTCAACAAAAAATTGTAAAAACAACACCATTATAATAACCCACTTATCCATTACCAGACGCATTAAAGAGCCGATATTTCACACGTCGATAATTATCCCGATGGTATGCAATGCTCCACTTTCCCGAGTAAGAGTGATTTATTTTTATTTTTTTATTTTTCCTTTTTTTTCAACTCATGAAAATAATAGTCTCTAAGATATTGCTTTCATTCATTTTTCCCGTTCATTCAATTATCGCGTACGCAGATGGGAAAATAAAATTTCTCGATTAATTTGGGATGTACATCAATATTTTCAATTGAAATGTGTGGATTATTGATGTGATTAGTCCATTTAATTAAAAGAATTCAATTGGAATTAATTTTTCATTATTTTCCCGCTGCATAAATGTATATAAAAAAATTAAATTGGATTATTTATAATTAGTGAATTCAATTGGCAAGAGTGATTGAAGTAAAAAAAATTACTAGTGTCAGGTGAATTCGAATGTACATCAATATTTGTATTGAAAATGTGTGGATTTTTATATTCAAATTATGCGAATAAATTTGACAACAGGTATTATTGTTGCTAATGTATTTCGGGGGTCGGGTAATATAGTCATCCTCTAATTAACATTGACATGACGTTCCATCCGACGACGTAACGTCAGTTACGTCTTCTGGACCCGAAACACCGGCCCGAGAAAGTGGTCGAGTGTCTCGAACTCAGCCATTCCTTCTCTCTTTTTTTCCAAATTCTTTTTCTTGCTTTCTCTTTACACACGAGTTGCATAACAACACTGCAGCATCGCCTCATACATTCCCGAGTGTTTAATAAATGTAACATCTAATGTGTCATTAGACACTCCTCCCTGTCGTCAGTTTCTATTTACGCGAAAATAAATAATCTTTCGTTCATTATAATTTATTTCGTCAAATTTCTTCCACGATAAAATGGATGCGAAAATATATAGAAGATGTATATAATAGTCTTTTAGGGGGAATATATAAAAATATATGCAAAACATATTTTAAATATCGATAAGCAGATGATCCGCTCCCTTTTTGCGTTTTTTTTTTTAAAGGTATTGAAGTTTTTACAACTTCAACAATAATTGATGTACTGCAGGAAAATACATTTTTTTGAATAAATCAGTTTCAAATTTAATGGAAAATCCTATCAATTTTTTTTCCGGCGCTTGGACAGAAAAATTATGTGTTACCCCCGATTTTTTTTTGTCTAATAATCGGCAGGAAAGGCTACTGAGTTTTTCATAGAAATTTAGAAAGAATAGGGGGCATTTTTAACATTGAGATTCAGTTGAGAAAGAATTCCGAGAGAATGATTTGGACTTTGAAGTCTGGAACGATTGGATTTAAAAAACGATCAGAAAAGTTTTGGATATTTCGTTTAATAAACTTGGGATACACAACGCTAAATATTCCAGAAGGAAAGGCATTTCACATTTTAGTTTTTCTGTAAGAATGATTATGAAATCTTGTTCATAATCAAGTTTAAGGAAAAATGTTGGGTGACATTTTGAATGAGAAATTGGAAAGCTAGACGATAAAAAATGAATATTTTCTCCAATGATTCACCAATGAAAAATCCGTAATATAAAAAATGAATTGATAAACGTGTGGAAAGGAAAAATATTGCACGCTTTGTTATTTTAGTTGTGAAAATAATAATTTTACAGCTATTACGCGCCCGAGCGATTTTACGAGACGTTGAAAAAAAAAATCAATTTGGAAAATTTATGATCTACAAAAAAGTTCTCGATAGTCCACCGCAAGACTAGCGGTTAACGAACCCAATAATCAATAGTCCGACTCTATAACTGTAAAAATTTATATATGATACGTTCTCCATTTTTTTTTTTAAAGAGATGAGTATTTTTTTATCGAAGTTCAAAGACACTGGGCCCAAGTGGATTTTAACTGTTTATTCAACGCAAACACGTCAATAACGTGACGACAATAGTAATCGAGTCGTAAAATAATCTCTATCCGCATTCTGCTGTGTCCGTGGAATAAAAAAAAACTGGGAAAAGGGTGTCTTGTATTTTCCAAACGGATGTTGCAGGTACAGACGCACGTAGAAATGTTAGTGTAGACGTGCTACGAGGCGTGTCACTTCCTCTGGAGACCATTGCCCAATACAATTAATGTTACATTGCAAGTCAATTACGATGCAAAATTTTGCTAATGAGATACACTGTAAAAAAAATACTGAAATATCCGTAAAAATTGAATTTCGGTGCTTCCTTGACATGTCTGGGTCACGAGCTAATAAATTATTCCATTATAATAATTAATTATCATTTCATAACTATAACTGAGATTGAATTCAGTGTCAATTAAAAATTGTCACAAAATTTTCCATTTATCTTGAATTTAATTTGTTTCAAGGTAATTGAATTTTTTTACTTGAAATTTCAAGTGTAATTTTCCAACAGTGCAGTGGGGTCTTATTTATTAATTAATATTTCAATTTTATTTATTTTACAGGGTCTTAGGGCGACGACGTTGATCCTCTGGGTAGTGATAGGACTTTCAGCTATCAGAGATTGTAAGTGGCACCATAAAAATTCATAGAGATAAAATGATTGCGTCGAAAGAAAGTCGTTTTCCCTTTTTTGTAGAGAAATTCTTTTCTCCTCCCAAAAATATATATTTTCCCGAAAAATCGAGTGGTCGACGGCAGCTATGATGTACCGACGATGTATCGATTATGCCATCATCAATGGATAAATAATTATGGAATATTTAAAACGAAAGTCCATCGTCTGAATTTCTCTCAACTAGTTTTCCCTGCCCTCCATTCACATGTAGAAGTTCCACTAGTCTTTTCACTTGTTCATTTCGACGAGTGCCACCAACGTAATCATGCATAATTAATTAATTCTATTGAGGCAACAGATAAAAAAAATCGATGCAATTTGATTTAGGTAATGGAGATCAAAGAGTCGTATGTTATTACACAAATTGGTCGGTGTATCGGCCAGGAACGGCGAAATATTCACCGCAGAACATAAATCCATACCTCTGTACTCATCTTATTTATGCCTTTGGGGGTTTCACCAAGGATAACACACTGAAGCCATTCGACAAATACCAAGATGTTGAGAAAGGTAGTGAAAACATTGGCATGATAAATTACCCTGAAATGATTGAAATTGCAGTCCGAGACATCAAGGTTTACGGATAATTGGTTTTAGGTGGATATGCCAAGTTCACTGGTCTCAAGACGTACAATAAAAACTTGAAGACAATGCTAGCCATCGGTGGATGGAATGAGGGCTCCAGTAGATTTTCACCTATGGTGGCTGATCCAGAGAGGAGGAGGGAGTTGGTGAAAAACTCAGTGAAATTTCTCAGACAAAATCATTTCGATGGTCTCGACCTCGATTGGGAGTATCCGGCATTCAGGGACGGCGGCAAACCCCGCGATAAAAATAATTACGCCGATCTTGTTCAGGTCTTTTTTTTCATTAATTATCCTTCCATTGCGAACACTTGGAATTGTTTACGACTTTTTAAACAGCAAATGTCTCAACGAGTGCAGAGAAACATTCAGTCAACAAAATTTATATGAAAATAGTAAAAACAGGATTTATTTCTCAATTTGTGTTTTATCTTTACATTTATTCTTTCATAATGAAATCTTGATGAATTAGTTGACTTCTTAAATATTTACATCAGGGATAATAATAAAATGGATAATAATGAAACAGAAAGGAAAAAGATGTTTAAGGGAAATTTCTTAGAGGTCCAGGGGTAGCTATGACTCAATAGACATTATCTCATAATCTGATTTCCAGTTTTATTTTTTTCTACGTGAATAGACCAGTTACAATGTTGAAATTTTTACAGGAATTGAGAGAAGAGTTTGAAAAGGAATCGTTGAAAACAGGTAGACCACGACTTCTTCTATCAATGGCAATACCCGCTGGGATTGAGTATTTGGAAAAAGGATACGATCTCCCAAGACTGAACGAATATCTCGATTTCTTCAATCTCCTGTCTTACGATTATCACTCGGCCTTCGAGCCTGCGGTCAACCATCACTCGCCGTTGTACGGACTCGAAGAGGCTAATGAGTACAATTATGACAGTGAATTAACCATCGTGAGTATATATTGCTATCACCAGGTCTGGGTAAACTGAAAAAAAGCCAACAATGTACCATCTCCATTAAAATTTACAACAAAATCATTTTCTTCAGCATTTATCCGATTCTCACAAGTCATTTTGCACATGAATAAGAAAAAAAGATTAAATGACGATCAATCGCTGAATACTTGATCGATTCATTTTTTTTCTCAGTGTATCCCTTAGGAGAATATATCAGAATATATCAGAATATATTAGAATATATCTGGATTCTCCCCAATTTTTTATTCTAGGATTATACGATAAGTTATCTCTTAAATCATGACGTTTCGTCTGAGAAAGTTGTACTTGGAATACCCACCTATGGAAGATCCTATACACTTTATAATGCAGAAGCAACGGATATAGGAGCTCCAGCTGATGGACCTGGAGAGGAAGGAGATGCAACTAGAGAGAAAGGATACTTGGCGTATTACGAAGTGAGCTCCAGAATTTTCATTATCTCAATTACTACATTTTATCTCGTAAATTAAAAAAAAAATGGTCCAATAAGCAAATATTAATGATAAATCATCAATTCCAATTCGATAATTGAAGAAATCTTTTTAAATGGATTTTTAAATGGAATTAATAATTTACTTATTGAATGAATGAATGAATGTGTAATGAACTTTTTTCCCAAGATTTGCGAAAATATAGCGAAATCAGACGAATGGGAAGTGGTTCAGCCGAATGAAAAGGCAACGGGGCCCTACGCTTTCCGAGGAAACCAATGGGTTGGCTACGACGACGAGAATATTGTCCGGGTGAAAGCATTTTACGTTAAAGAGAAGAAACTGGGAGGCATTATGTTCTGGTCCATTGACAACGACGATTTCCGGGGGAAGTGTCATGGACGTCCGTATCCACTCATTGAAGCTGCCAAAGAGGCTCTCCTCTCCGGAAATGAGTACGATTAATTAAATAACACTCACTATCTAATTATTCACAATTATTCATATCACAATTAAATACCAATTTTATGAGTATTTTTTGGATTTGAATCGAGAATGAATGTGATATTTTTAATTTGTTAAAAAAAAATTTGGAATCTTCAGGAAAATCTCGGAGATATCGAAGCCAACGGGTTCTCGAAAAAAGACAAAGCCTCAAACAAGTCGTACATCAGATACCTCAACAGAACGAAAATACTCATCTCCTCGGCGATCAGGTTCTAAACCACCTCGAAAGCGTCCATCCTCCACTCGATCGACCCCTCGTTCCAAGATTGCTTCAGAAGATACAGTTGAATCTCGAGAATCGAGTGAAGAACGTGGCACATCGACTCGGCCCCGCAAAACGCGTCCAAAATTCCGCACAGGAACTCACAGACAAGAGCAAACAAGAAAAATAGAGCGAACGGAAGAAGACCCATCTCCCTTCAGCAACAGTCTAACCACACCGGAGCCTCCAACGACCCCAGATCCAGGGTCAGACTTCAAGTGCGAGGACGAGGGCTTTTTCCCTCATCCCCGAGACTGCAAGAAGTATTTCTGGTGTTTGGACAGTGGTCCCAGCGGTCTTGGAGTGGTTGCTCATCAGTTCACATGCCCATCTGGTCTAGTCTTCAACAAAGCAGCCGATTCCTGCGATTATCCTCGCAATGTCGTCTGCCCAAAGGCGAAAGCATCTCCGACGACTCCTAAACCCACCCCTACGAGCAAAACAACCAAGAGAACTACAACTGCCAGTCCAGAGATTGAGGGAGACGATGAATACGAGTATGAAGAAGATGAGGAGAATTCAGCTGGAGAGGAGGAAGAAATTCCTGTTAGCACAACTGCAAAGCCTTTGTTGTATAAGACAATTAGTAGAAATAGACCGACCACTTCGAGTAGTACTACAAGTACTGAAGCAACGACGACTCAAGGAACTATTGAGACCTCTAGAGGATTCAAAGGAATCGAAGATGGAGAGGGCGATGACACTGAGGATCCCAAGGTCCTCAAAGAATTGATTGATTTGATTAAGAAAGCCGGAGGGATTGAGCAGCTTGAAAAACAACTGCATCTGCAGGAAAAGGGTCTAGTTGGTGATACCACTGAGGGTAGTTTAGCTACTCCAGCTACGATCAGTAGGAGTTTATACGAGAAAGTGCTGAATCGACAAGCCACGAAGCTCTTTGGAGGGTCTAGTGGAAAGGATACGAAGCAGGTGACAAATTCGAGGGGTTCACTCCAGAATGGACCGGGGAAATCGCAATTCGAGGGGCTTGATGAACTGCCAGAGGTGAAGAACTTGAGGAGAATAAATAAGCATCAGTATGTGACAATTGCACGCCAGAGGTGAGTGCGGTATATTTTTTTGGAGTCTTGGCTCAGGTCAAGTTTCTTTGATATTGAGTTATTTCATCGGTTCAGATCTTCAACGAATGAACCTGCAGTGAGCGAGGATGAACTTTCTAATGAAGAAGTTGAAGAGGACAATGATGATGCATCCTCTGATGATCGCGAAGTGAGTAATCCTCCGGGGAAAGAGAGAAATTCGTATCTGAAACGAGTAACACCTAATTACGTCAACATCCGTAGATCTCGACCGACCACTCCAGCGTAAGTCAATCAAGATCATATAAATCTGAGTCGAATACATATAATCTAATTCAAATTTTGCGTTAAAAAAAACTTGTTACAAAAAACTCGTTGAGTAAAAAACTCCAGTGAAAATACTTTCATCGGAAATAACTTTGGCGAAAGTTACACAATGATCATTTTTATACAGAAGTGACGGTGATATCAAAGAAAGCGGCTCCCAAGAAGAAAATTCTTCAAAATTTTCCCGCAAACAGCACAACAGAAAGTAAATAGCGTTCACTTATTTTAGTTCGCCTCGTTTCTTCGTGAAAGCTACATTTTTTTTGGGTTTCAGTTTTGAAAACGACGAGGAACCAGCGAATAAACCATCATCCACTGAATCCATTGAGGAAGTCTCTCAAGAATCAAATACTCCAAAATCCAGGTATTTATAACCTGTAACTTATGATTTTTTTATTATCGCAGATATGCAAGTATTTTCGTTATTCTAGATACACCAATATTCATCGCTTCAGAAGTACAACGGTATCATCCACGGAATCCGAAGATCCTGTTAAATCTTCAGAAGAAACCTCAGAGTCTCCCCCAACTAGTCCCCTAGAGCTGACCCCAACCGAGCCCCAGGTCTTCTCAACTCCCTCCCCTACCACAGAGGCATCAAAGTCCTCCACAGAATTTCTCCCTGAAGTCACAAACCCCACAATAAGCACAACACACCAGCCAGCAACAGAGCCAGTTAAACTGGTAGAGAACTCAGTCACTGAAATACTACTAACAACATTCCCAGCACCATCGACCCCTCGCACAACTCCTTTACCAAGGACAACAGTATCAGCAGTATCATCACCTAGACCCTTTGGATATTCTCGACGAACACGTCCAACGACAACATCACCATCATCAACAACACCAACACCATCGACAACTGAGCAATCAAGAGCCAAGGTGAGTAACAGACCAACGAGAAACTTTGCGAGGTCGTCGAGCTCGTATCAAAATCGGGTAAGAACACGAACAAGAGCATCGACAGTGTCCAATTACATCAATCAATCAGTGGAGGACAATTCTAATGAGGTTACTTCAGTGGAACCTGAAGTCCAGACTATTAAACGATCGAGGCTGGGGACAAGGAGAGGGGGAGTTAGATATTCGTCAAGAACAACAACGGAAAGTTATAAAAGTACGTTAACCACACTTGACGCTATATCGACCTCGAAATTCAGTTCGAGAAGAGGAGGAAGACTCACTTCTACCACTGAAAACACGACAAATCCTTCTGGAATTGCCAGAAGAAGAAGACCCACAGACAGCAAAATAATTCGAATTTCATCGGATTATTCTGAGCGACTTAAGCAACCGAACTCGGAATTTATTGAGAATAATGAGGATGATGAGAAAATCACGAAAATTCGAGTATTCAAAGTTGATGAAGACGTATCCAATGTGATTGATCCATCGGGGGTGGAAAATGAGACGCCAAAATCTACAGAGTTATTGAATTCGATATCAGAGACACCGAGTTCGATTTCAGAAACATCGACTTTGAGTCCATCGACATCGAATTTCATTCCGGAGACATCGAGTCTAATCCCGGAGACATCGAATTTAATTCCAGAGACATCGAGTTTAATTCCAGACACATCGAGTTCGATACCTGACTCGTCAATTTCTGATGGGCCTGTCTCTACATCAACGATTTTCACGCCTACGGAAGTTTTCACAGAAATTACAGAAGCTGCTGACACTAATTTCACAACCGACATTACAACAACTCTCGATGATACCAATTTAGATAATAGCACTGCAGATAATGAACAGCCGGGAAAGGAGAATAAAAAATCATTGAAAAGGAAAGTCTTACTGAGAAGGCGTCCAGTGACTCCCACCTCGACGGAAAGCTCAACGATCGAAGTGAAAAGAAGGAGAAAAGTTCTGAAGCTCGTCCGACCGCACTTGGAAGGTGCCTTTAACGAATTACCATCAGCTGAAGAACCCGAGGTTGTCTTCAGCTCCAGGTACAATGAGAAATCGACGACTCCATCAATTTCATCATACGATGAACAAACGGGACCGACTAAACCCCCAGCGGAGTCTCAGCACAATGAAATTACGACAGATTTAATTGACAAATTAACAACGATCTTCGATAATTCAAGAAAACCAACAATCATTCCCACGACAATTCTCGAAGATGAGATGACGACAGAAAGTGTTGCAACCCTGGGGACTGAAAAGCCATCAGATGATGATAATCTATTAGAGACGACAATAAATTCAACGGAACCAGAACTTGAAGAACCAAGAACAATACCAACAACAGTTTCAACGACTTCAGTAAGTACAACAGCATCAGATCCTGTTTCCAGATTTGTGCGGAGGAAATTTGTGAGGAAGCGTCCGGCCTTCTCATCAACAACTGCAACACCTCCAATATCAACGCGGAAATTCGGTGTTTCGAGGTCGTCAGGAAGATCAACAACAGATTCTTCCAATAGTGGGATAAATTCTCGCAGGAAGGGTCTGTTTGTTCGAAGACGACCGGTCCCTTCCACCACAGCTAGTGCAATTGAAGACACCGATGTCAATGAAGAACAACAAACATTCTGGAATCGCCGCACAACACCAGCAACGACTATTGGACTGACCCCAATCTACGACTCAGAAACGTCATCCACACTAATTTCTAAAGAACCCGATTCATCCCCTGAAGAATCCTCTGACAAACTGGGGAACGCCGTTGGTTTTCGAACGGGCAGGAATCGATTCATTGGTGAAAACGAAGCCGAGCCCACAAACATCGATGAAGATGAAGATGATGGAGTCTTCAAGCCTCCAGTACAAAACAGCAGAGGAAATTTGATAAAAAAACAGTCAAATGTTCCCGTAGGCTTCTGGCAGAGTCAAAATCCAAAGACTCGATCCTACCCCCGAAAACCAACGACAACCGAGTCATCAGTCACGGAAACCCTCATCCCAGCCCGAAAATTCGATTATGTAGCTGATGCATTACTTAGAAAACAGCAGTCTCAAAAACCACCATCTAATACCCCACCAACACCAAAACAATCAGTCACAAGATTAGTAACATCAGTCGTTGAATCTGGAACAACAGAACGACAGATTATTCTCATTAAGACTAAATACTCGTCATTAACATCAGCAACAAAAATACCATATGACAATTCCCTTCATTATGATAAGGATTATCCCTCCTCCGAGGACCAGAGATACTTCTTACTGAATGAGATTCATGAACCAACCGAAAGAGCTGTTGAAAAATCAACATTACCCATTGAGCGTGTGTTCGCAAGACGCGCGCGTTATTTTGTAACTGAACCCAGTATTGAGTCATCTACCATCGAGATCGAATCAGTCTTCAACGATCTCGCGGGTAGAGAAAGAATATAGGCTCGCACAAACGCCAATTAGTTATAATATTTAAACAATTCTCATCATTCGTAATCAAACAATGCATCATTCATGAATGTAACAAATTGCCATGACGATAATAATCACGAGCTATGCTTCAAAAAAAAAAACAAACAAAACCACCAATACGACTAATGATCTCGACCTTGAACGTCGAAAATGTCGTTCCACGCTTTGACAAATCCACAATGAACCAAAAATGATAAATGAACCTGCACTTGAGAGCAAATGGAACACCTGAGAGATAAATTTTGTAGCGAACTTAAGGCCACATCTATATGATATTTTTCAGAACCTGCTAATTGCTGAGAAGCCTGATCTACCGACACTGAAGCAGCTGATTGATGATAACTATGGAAGTACAAGGTCGTTTGATACTTCATTGAAAAGTACGCAAATGTATGTCAATTCACTCGATGACGAGATTGAGAATAAATTACCGCAGACTATTGATTCCGATGGGATCAAAGTGAGGGTCAAAATTTTGGATGATTATGGAAGTGGAGAAGTTAAAATCAACGAGTTCGCTATCCTGAGTTTACCCCACGGGGCTATCAATCCAAACGTTACCAGTACTGTCCTGAAGATCGAAGTTATCAATGACTCAGCAGAGCGATTGATACCTGACAAAGTCGAGGCTCTGGAGAATCGACTGTCAAGAAAAAAAAGAATCGAAGATCAGAATGTCACCGGCGAATTATCTCAGAGAAGTTCTAGAAGGAGAGTGAGAGTTCAGCAGCCAACAACTCCTAATTCGATTGATAATAGAAGAAATGGGCGAAGAAGGGTTTCTAGGATAAATTCTGTAGATCAGAATGCTCAAAATACAGAAATTATCAATATTTCTTCAACGACTCCAATGTCTGTGGATGAACAAATTAATACGACCGTGAAACCAACTACTCTGCGTGGCAGTTCAGTGGTGATTCACAGCAGTGATGAACCTGTCAAAGGATTCTTCATTACTAAAAGTCTTGCAGAACTTCCTAACATGACTGAGAAAATTGGTGTAACGGAGTTTACGACAGAAATGCCTTCTTCCACTCCTCAAGATGTGATTTATACAACAGTTAAAGAAGATGATAATGTTTTTACTAGACCTGTTACTACGAGAAGCTATCACTTACGGAATAATGAAATTGGCGATGAACAGGATGCACCTCTTACAGAAGGGACGACTCCTGAAGCCTTCACCAATGATTTAACAACGGCTTTTGAGCCCGATGAAAGGACTCTCAACGCTGAAATAAGGGAAGATCGTGAGGTAACTACAATGAAAACAGAAACAACAGTTTATCATCCGTCGCAAATAATTGAGGACAAAAAATTATCAAATGAAACGTACGTCAACGATGAAGATGATGAGAGGGAAACGTTTCCTGTAGCTTTTAGGGGTGAAGAAACGACGACGCGTTCCGTTGATGAGACGTCAATTTACGATGGCTTACAGGAAAAACTGAATGAATTGAACTTCGTAACAGGTGAAAGTAAGGAAGAATATACGACGACGGAAAGTTATTACGATACAATGGTGTTCACCACACCCAGAAGTATTACTACTATGGTGAATGATGTGCCATCAATGGACGTTTCACCAGACGTTGAAGACAGTACGATAAAGTTAGAAGTGAATGAAAGTTCGACGAAAACTCCGGATACAATTCCAACAATTTCGATTGATGATGTAGTCGATGGAAGTAATGAGAATGGATCAACGATAATTCTTAAAATAATCACATTTTCACAAGAAGAGGAACAACAGTCCAATGCAACCACAGTGTCAACAACAGAATCATCTGAAGTGACTCCTCCCATGCCAGAAGATACCGGAGACTCTAGTCCAACTGTCCCAAACCCACGAACGTCTTCATCAACTCTCATGACTTCTCCATTAATAACTCTTCTATCATCTTCATCAACTCCTATGTATACCTCCACATCACCACCATCTACCCCTGAAATCGTACCGGAGAGAACTCGAACAGGTGCTCGAACACGAGGAAGAGTTCGCTTCAGACAATCATCAACAACTTCCGCTCCTAGAGAGCGAAAGCCCCGTCCATTCTCAACAATTCGCCGGCAATCACAATTCCTTAAAAATCGATCAGAGTCTTCAGAATCATCAGAGGAAAAACCTCGAGTAATAACCCCACAGCAACCATCACCTCCAACGAAGTCATTGCCATCTTCACCCACCGCGAAAAGTAGAATATTTTCCCGGGGCCGAGGGCGAGGGAGAATTCGTCAAACTTCGAGCACGACGACTGAGCAAAGTTTCCCAGTGATTGAGACATTCACGGAAGTATCCGCAGAAGCATCCACTGAAGTCTTCGAAAGTAAAGATGACAATTCGAAAAGGGAGGCTATCCTCAAGACTCCTCAAACAGAATACACTAAAGAAGACGATCAAATCATCGCCGAGAGCAGTCATACGGATGTCTTTGGGGAGGTCAGTTTATGAAAAATGATGAACAAACGACTAAGTTATAAATAAAATCCAGAAGATACCTCTGATGCAAATAAATACGCCTATTGCTATTGCTGTGGGTCTCTTCTCCGAGTCCTAGTTCTAGTTCATCTTCAGACCACATGGAGATAAGAATCATTTTCCCCCCCCACAAATGCTAATAACAGTGGACGGTTTAACAATATCAAGATGATGGATCTTATCCTGTCATCTAACACCTCAATAATTCAGCAGAATTGTGGGACACATTGGGCTTCGTCGAACACAACAAACATGGCTACTTCTTGAATAACAATCATTCTGTTTTTTTTTATGCCTCTGAATTTCTGTTCAGCTCTTGTTTATGATGTTCTAAAGTGTGTGCTTTTGATTATGCCGCGTTTTTCATCATATCTGTACGTTAAATTTCTCCCTGTCGATTCTACGAGTGCCCTTTCAATGCGAAGCACGAATTCTATCATTTTGAGATTCCCAAAAAAAACAGAAATTTGAAAATCAAACCTTCCATTATAAATATACAAATTAACATAGCATCATTATATTAATATGAACATCAGTAAAGAGTCAATGAACCGATTGAATCGAACCAATATGAATGATAATCCTCACAGAAATAAATAAATTAATAATAATAATTGACAAAACAATTATTTCGATATATATAATTATCGATGGAATATCTTCATGATTAAAATGAAAATTCATAATTGAATATGAATAGTAAAAAATGGGAATTACTTTTTACGAGAGAAGATTAGATTAGATAAGAGAAAATTTATAATTTCTGGTTCAGATATGATGAAAAGTCTCATAAACAATCCGGTTGCAAAGCACGACTTTGCACCCTGGTTGTAACATATACTATTTTCTTCTGTGAATAGTCTAGATAGTACTTCCTGTATTAACGCTTGCGATTAGTTTTTCTCTCTTTGTCTAATTGATCACAAGACGGATTGTTATTGTTTCAGTGATATTTTGTAGGATGGATTCTGTTAATGAATTTATTGATATTCAGGTCGGAGCGTTGAAGAGCCCGGGAGCCATCTTGAGAAAGCCTGGAATTATTGCTAGACCCACTACTTCCAAGAGCTACGCTATTGGTTAGTGAACATATGAAAATTAGAATACATGCAGGGAAATACATAATCAGAATGACATGCCTTTTAATGAATCAAATTTATCAGATAAATATTTTCTAAAGCTATCGATATGTCCCAAGAATAATTATATTATTATTATTATTTTCTATTGTCTTTTGAAATCCAGTGAATTTCATAATTTTATCGTGTTTATTCACCGATTTTCCTAATGACTGTAATTCCAGAATATGAAACCGCAGATCGCCGTTACTCTAGTAAATTCGTGGTGCCTTCAGTAGAAAATAACGACCAAACGGGTCGTGCCCAGGAAGTCGCAGTGTCACTGATAGATCCATCAGTGCTCGCTTCCTTCAAAACAGGTAAAAGTCCCCCACCAGTAAAAAATCATTCCATTAAAAAAAAAAAACAATTGCATTACATCAAAGTTTAATTGACGTTACTTTCTTCATAATTATCTATCTCTCTCGTTCCTCTTGGTATTGGTACTCTACATCTCTAAATTAATTCTCTAATTGATTTCTTCCCTCCAGCTATGAAAGAACTCAACGTTTCACCATTCAACTAACAATCTAAAAAAATACTCTCGACTATCATCATTTAAGTCTCCGGATGGTGCAGAGACTCTCCAACAAATCTACGTAATTAATTATTACATCATCTTCATCTTTGTATTTGTGAATGTTAGAGAGAAATCTTATTAGATAGCTGTCTTCATTTACTAACGAATTCTGTAATGAAGTCACATCAACACTGGGGGCTCCATCGTACTAATATTTCTGAAACCAATAGATTCATAGAAAAATATTAAGAACATCTTGTAGAATTTTTTCACTGAATAATATTACCCATGTCATTGATTAATTAATTTCGAAACAAACTTGGAGATAATTAGCCCTGTTTTTTCAATGATCCTTGAAAATAGTAGATTTATCAAAAATATGTACCGAAACCTTCGACCTTCGTTATACATCATAAAATTCTCAGCAGTAAATATCTTTTGATTGTTCCCCTAAACTCATCAGTTTACACACATCTAAGAACAATCCCCTATTTTTTAAATCGAATTTCACTCCACAATGTGCAATTCCCTAACGACGGAAGAATAGTAAAATCGTAAATAAACATGAAGAGATTGTGTTATGGATAGGTAAAGAAACGTTAACGAATCGAGGTGCACAGAGGCATAAAAACGAAGAGTTTGAAGGTATCACTGAAACACCGATTACGAGGACGACAATTTCGAGAAGAAGACAACGGCCTACATCTGCCTTTCAAGATGCTCAAGTCACTTCGCATAAACCAAGACGCCCTGCCATTATTGATTACGATTACTACGTTGATGAAGAGGTGCGCATCTCAGTGAAACCTGAGCTGAAGAATAAAATCTACGTAACAGCGAGTGGAAGGATTGGATGCCTGGACCAGGGAACATTCGCACATCCGTATTCTTGTAAAAAATTTATCACCTGCGCGAAAATGGTGGGAGGACAGGTGGTACCCACTGAGTACTCATGCCCCAATAAATTGTCCTTCGATCCTGTCGGAGGCATTTGTAATTGGTCCGCTGGACTCGGGTGTAAAGAGTCTTTGTAATCAGAATTATTCTTTTTTTTTCTACTTTTGTAACTGAGATAATTTTCTTAAATCTGCCATTGATGTAATAGCAAAAGAGAAATATCGAGATCAGTGGAGGCAGAGGAAAATGCCGAAGGACTTCTTCGTGGATTCTAAGATTGTCTACATATGAGCCATCGGATAATTTTTTTTTACTCCAATTCATTACAACTTTTAACGTTATCTCGTACTCTGATAAATTGTTTCGTAGGCATTATGTAATGGATATTAAACATATTTCTTAGTTAAATAGTAATCAGTTAGCCATATGTATAATTCGTTTAAGTACAGCGTCGTGATATTATCGATAAATGTAATGATTCTTATTAATTCATCAATTTTTTTTGTATATACTAATTGATTGTAAATAAGGCTCTGAATATTAAAAAATACTGTATAATGATTGTATTCAACACTTAACAATACCATTTTTTTTCCAAATTAAAAACTATGAAAATGGAGATAAAAATTGGAAAGCTATTGGCGTTGAGAATATTTTTATAAATTTTTTTCAGGGGATAATCTTCATATGGAGTAAGATTTTATTCAATGAGCTAATGGGGAATATCAAATCACGAGAGGACAGGGGGAGCAATTAATTGGTACAAGAAAATCCATTCATAATGCGTGACCAATGAAAGTTGCGCGATAAATCGAATTGTTAATCCCATTGACAATGTAAACATAATATTCAAGCATAAAACGTAGATAAAAAATATCTTCATGAATTCAGTGAGATCGTCGGAAATTCCCAATTGATGATTCACGTCTTCAATTCTTCCCCAATCCTTGATGATGGTGATGAATTTTTGTTTTGAAAAGGCGAACAATGTCCACAATATAGAGCACTCGAAAAATTTAATTGCCACAATTAAAATTATAAGTAACATTCCAAAATGATTGCAACTTATTCAGACGATTGAGTGTCCGCAGATTAAATTGATTCAATTATTAGCATTAATTGAAATTCATGCATTTCATGAAAAATCACCGATTGTGCAGTTTAAATTTTGATTGACTCAGCGGATTGTCCGGTAGAATTTGTAGATAAAATTCCTCAAATCATGTCAAATTGGCAAAGTATAACTATCCATGTAGTTATCAAAGTGACAACCTGCAACAGTATTAATATGTGATAACCACGACTTGATGAAATTTCAGAAAAACTAAAAGCAAAAAATTCCAAGCTTACATGAACAAACAACGAATAATCGATATTGACAATGCCGTATAGTGACACCCTCACAGGTTTCAGCATCAGTTGAAGAGAAAAAATGTTAACTTGCTGGAAATAATCCCGACTTTGTTATTAAAAAATGACGCAACAAAGCAGTGATATCGATAATATCGATAAATTTATTATCATTACCGCAAGTATAAGTGCATTGCAGCGCAAATTGATTGGCCATTCCAAGGCATGAAGTACTTGAGCTGTTCTGTTTCCTTCTGCACATGCAACGCTGCAATTACGTGTAACCATGAGCATTGACATTAGAGGGAGCATAATCCAGTAGCCGACTGATACGATGTAAGGATAATCTCGATTCACAGGATTGGTTTGTATGTACAACCAATAAGTGTAAATATGTTTAGTTATATAGGCTCCATGAAGCATAATCGTGACTAACAGTGGAAAAGCGAAATGTGCTGTTATTTTATCGAGAAGTTCGTAGGTCTGTCGATGTAATTGACGACAAGTTTGTAGTTGATGCTGTATTAATATGGCTTCTATGCTATGCATTAAAAAATCATTTATTCATTAGCCTGTAATAACAAATAGTGATACCGTCATAGTTTACCTGATTTTAAAACGTTCCTTTCCATTATCATCGACTAAAGTCTTTACATATTCATTCAACAGATTAAACTTCCTCCTGACAAATAAAATACCACTGCCAAACAAAAGGAGCATATTGTAAGACACTAATCGGATCATCTGATAAATGAAAAATGCTACAGGATGTGGATTGCCTCCGGCTCTGATTATGTGACAAACTGTCCATGGGACCAGCACCATCATCATCACATTGAAAGAGATAACTACAAGAGTCACTTTTCTTATGAACAGATTAGGATTATCGAAAATTCCCAACTTTATACTAGTGCATTCGATGATCCTGCAATTATCAAGAATTCTCAGCAATCTCTTGTTGTAAAAACCGGATGATATCCAGAAAATGGAGGAATCCAAGAATTTTAAAACCACGACTTCTATGTCGACTACGAACATGACGTGGGTTTCACCAGGAATTGTCCTGGAGAATCTGTCAATGATGACTTTCAGGCATATGTATCCGAAAAATATTACTTGGAATATGGCGTAGAGAGCGGCAAAGCGTGAAGGCACAATAACGCTCGTTTTTCTCAATCTGAAGGGATTGACACCCAAAAAATTCCAAAAACTGTACACCAGGATAAAGTGCCACGGTCTTTTTAGGGGATACATTGCAACGCTTATTACTCAAGCTCAGCGTGATGTGAAATTTTCACTTTGTATTTATCGGGGAATGTTCCATTAGGTGATGCATAAGCTGATTGATGCCACAAGTAATGGACATAATGGTATTGAACTATCCTGGGGACACGGAGGTGATCCATCGATTTTTTTAGCAACCGTGTTATATTTTTATTGTGTAATGAGTCTAACAGGAAATATCAGAGATGTGCGGATAATATTACTTTCCCCAATGATTCTATTTATATTTTTATTTTATTTTATCTTCAAGTATTATTATTATAATCACCCCTCCGATAATAATCTCTTCCGATAATAATTTTTATAATGGTAGAATGACGTCGGAAGTTTATTCCCCCTTTTTCCCTCTTCTGTTAAAATATTTAAGGAGTCGGAGTCAACTCGACTTCAGAAGTAAACTCTAGAGAAAATATAGAAGTACTCTGTGAAGTTTTTTGTACGCAGAATTTGATGTTTGTCTATCACACTGTTGACAGGATGCAAAACTTGGATTATAGTTGTTATAAAACACCATAGGTGTAAGTCTTCGAAAGGGGAAAAATGAACAACTGGGATCTGGTATATCCGGAAACGTCAAAAACATATCAGACCTGTACATAAGTTTCACCCTCTGTTTCTCCGAGTGAGGGATAGGATTATTTTACACCACGTGGCTAAAAATAATTCCTGAACTTTTTCACATAAGACTTCGTCGCACTTTGTCTTTTTTTTCAGTTGGTTCGTTAATTTTAATGATTATCTGGAAGAATTAAATTTCTGGTGTTTCGACGTCACGACTATTCCATTTGCACTCGAAATAATGAACTTTTCTGGTTTTCACTTTTTTTCGACTTCATCGTCAATTATTATGGCTTTAAGTTTAATAATACCTGTATAATTGATCATTTTTTTTTATTGTAATATAATTGATAATTATCACCATTTTTCTACGACAAGGAGTATGAAAATAGTGTGTTGCGCAACGAGTGCGGGAAGTGGCACTTTTTCACACGAATAATGAATGCGTGAAGGCAGGCACAGCCATGAGTGAATTCTCCATTTTTTGTGATGCATGCCGAGTTCTCATCGGAATTCACTCATCGAGGTAAAGTGTACCTTTTCATGCGTGGAGTGCGTAAAGTTCATATAATTGAACTTTCTCGTACTCCAAAGCGGCTGGGAAAAGTCCAATGAACAACTCACATGATTCTGACGTAAAAAAAAAAATAAGTCAGTCCATCTTTAGACTGTTTGTCTCTCTGATTTCATTTCGTCAATTGACCAACATGTGTGTACATTTCCTGCAATACATTCATATTCCTCAGTCGGTGTCGTTTTAATAAATAATAAATTGCATTCGCGTTTGCCTTGAGGCAAATTTTTGTACAGATGTAATGAGACGGAGAATGCAGAAATGGCTGGAGATGAAGCTTCAACGGGACGAACGCATCATCGTCAAGAAGGAAAACGATGCCTTCAATACCTTGATTTTAATAAAATAGTTAATGTGGTATGTCGGGTAAAAAAATGTAATCAGAATATTTTCTCCAAATTTTCAAAAAATTTCTGGAACACTTTTCAGAAATTTTTTTTTATGAAACACAAAAAAAATGGGAGAACAAAACAATTTTATTTTTGGGAAAGGTTTTGAAAAACTAAAAAAGTAAGAAAACAACAGTATAATAAAAAAAAATATATTCGCAAAAATTCCTAGAAAAACAAATTTTTGAAAAATTTTTCAAAACATTTCCAAAAAATACGATTGTTTCATTTCCCGTTTTTTTTTTTTGTAAAAAAAATTTTCTGAAAAGTTCTCTAGAAATTTTTTGAAAATTTAAAAAAAATATTCCGATTACATTTTTTTTTACCCGGGTATACACTGGACGAGTCCATTTTACCTTCCCATAACTTTCGAGCGAGAGGACGTAAAATTTTCCAGCTGTCAGATACACCGGCTTCGCACTATTCATTAACATCATTAATATCGACTTTTTCGCTTTGGGTGATACTTCGAACCAATTGCAATTGTAACTAAAAAGAAATTTGAGACAAATAAATTCACAAGTGATTATCAATTCTGTGTGATACTTACATTTCCATCGATAATCGAATACTGTGATCATATATTTCTTGTCCTGGTATACTGATGAAGAGCAAGTGAACCAGTTGACCGCCAATACACGCAACGAATCTTACAGCTTCAGTCGGTTCGTTAAATCTAATAATTAGCTAAAAGAATTAAATTCCTGAGGTATCAATGTTGAAATTTTAAGTGAACAGTTTGAAATTGTTAACGACAAATGGACATAAATATCAGCGAACTTTTTGAAAAACAAATCAGTCAATTTTTTGAATTGTCAAAGTCAATGCAAAATTCAGTGATTTAAAAGACGGATATTTAAATTATTAAAAGTTGTATTCAATTAGCTGATGATTGCATCGAGTAACACTTCAATTGGATTGACAATTGCTTTTCATTAAGTATTACCCGACTTTGAAACTGATTACATACTTGGAGTCCTGTGATGCTGATTGATATCATGCTTATCAAAACTAAGACCCCGTACATAACAGTAGATAACGACTCAATGAAATCCGCCCATCTGTTGAATACAAATTATCAAATCCATAATTAACTGACACTGACTCTTGAGGCTCATGTCGTGTACATAGAGGAATAAATACAAAAATATTTGTAATGAATTCGCGAAAAAAAATCAGGAGCTGCAAAGACTTCTTCCGCTAGAAAAAAAAAAATTGCTGCCGTTTCCAACAATTGTACCATTCCATAAAAAATCGTGATGGGTTTCCTATTTATTTCTCAATGCACAGAATACGTAGACTAGAATCCTACGTTAGAGCCCGCTGATGTACCTCCACTGCCTCAAAAATTATTCTATCCTGTTGCTCTGTAGAAAATTCTCCCTTTACGTGTTGCAATAATTCCCTGCAATAAAAAAAAAATTAACTACATACAAAAAAACATTCAAAAAACATTAAACATTCAATCTGCGTCACACAGAGAGGAGTTAGTAACATTTTAATAATTAATTTATAATAATATAATAATTATTCAGTGGGTCTGAGGATTTATCCAGTGGGAGTACGAGAATATTTCGGGGGAAATTATTCCAGTGCAGATTATAAATTAAAAAAAATCACCCAACAGCCACGAATAACCCACAACAATGTTCGACAACAATCAGCATAAATGTAGAAATCGTCATTATTAAACTCATCAGCAACACAGCTTCGAAGAGTTGATGAATTAGCATCGCTGCGTAATGATTATTTATGTTAATTCCGTAGATCATGTAATCAGCCTTCACTATTAGTAATTTCGATTCGGATTGATTAGCAGCAGTAATCACATCTGAAATTATTGCTTGCATAGGAAGTAGAATGTACAAACACGTTGCAGTATACAGCATAACTGAAAATTCATTGTTTATAATTTAATTTGCGAGTTGAATCTTCTGATGCTGCACCTGAGTGCTCATTATTGATACCTATTGTAGGAATTATTTATTTCATACCTAGATAGAATGTAGTGGTTGAATATCCTTTTTTACCATACGTGTGCATGATTCTGATGGTTGATGATCTCTCCATAGTCTTCCAGTCTTTGCGCATATTATTTATTGTGAAACGAACCTGTTGTAATTCATGAAAATGTTGATGAAATTGTCATGGCATTATTTAATTGTCAGAATATTTTCGCACAAGTATTAATGCATACAAACCCAGTCCATATTTGTTGCAAAAACATAATAATAAGTAATGCCCAACATAACAATCATGTCTTCTACTAATCCAGCTGTCAGCTCATCTATATTTTTGTACATTTTGCAGATGAATGCGTACTAAAAAGACAGCGAAATGAAAAAGTTCTAGGGTCAATTGATAAATAAAAAATGTAAGCAGATTGAAAAATCGTGCGACAAAATTTGGCATTGTTAATGAAATAAAGATTTGGATTTGCTATGATTTATCCAGGTTTACTGTAAGTGATGATGAAATATGGTCGTGATTGTTTATTGCAGCGAATATAAGCGAGTTATTTTGTTAATTAGTCACAGGAAAAAAATGAGAGCTACACGGAGGGAAAAATGTCATTGGAAAGGCGAAAGATGGAATTGAAAATGAAATAACGGAACGGAAGGTAGAAATCACTCACCACCTTCATAAAAATTGTTGATTGTCCAATAACAATTGAACTTGCAAACAAGTCGAAAAATTTCAGTAAGATTTTACTCGGAGAAATATTACATGGCGATTCCGAAATTTATCCGGTGATAAACATAAAAATTCACCGGATATGTGAGATTTCTTTCCTTCCGTTCCTCTAAAGATCTCCGGAATATTCCTATTGCGAATTACTCCTATTGTGAATTATTCTATAATTTTGACAGAATATTGTTGCAATTATTTTATCGTGACACTACGCACTGTTGTTCTACTCAGTGCATTAATGAGAAGAGAAATCCACAATACTTGCGGTAACATTATGCTCAGCAGCAACATCAGTACACAAAATTGTATAAAAATCATCTGACTTTGGGGATATTCCGGCCATAATCCAAAAAAAGTCATCAAAATTCTATTCCGTTTGTAATACCCGTCATTAAAAATATCCGCTTTTTTCATCTCGATTTTAAAATGGTGAAGTGTTACCCGTTGAAGCTGGATTATCGTCTTGCTTGTACGCCAGTTTTCACGATACTAAAATATCATTTATTCGTCTATGTTCACCATCGCATTTATTATTCTACGCGAAAAATAATTCTTCATATCCGGTTGTCACCTCGGACTCTGAAACTGCATGACGGTCTCTAGATTCTATCGATTATTATTTTTTCAGAATTCATACTCTACCGAGTCTGCACGTATATTCTGTCGTGTTTCGTCTCGTATGTTCAAGAAGACAATTACACCAGTTGTCTCTCTCGAAATGTCAACTCTGAAATCTTCGAGTTAAAACATTGAAAATTCCCGGGAAACAACTATTTGTTTTTCAAATAATTAATTCTTCTGATTTTCACGTTTTGGTTTCTTAATCGCGAATTATTATTATCTTTTAATTATTTTAAATTAAAAATTATTATTATTGCTGATTTATTATCACCCTAAGTTTTTTTACGGCAAGGAATACCAAAAATTATATTTGTATATTCTGAAAGTGTGAATTTATTGCTGAGAAGTGTAATCATGAATTATCTGCCAAAAATCTTATTTAATAAATATAATTGTGGATATAAATATAATAAATTTACATCTCCAAACAAAAATGTGGATATTTCAATCGGAAATGATATTTGCACCATAACAAGGGTAATTATTACCGATATTTTTCCATGAAATTAAAAATTCCAGAGATGCCATACGAAAATATGTCCACGTGTAAAATATAATTGTTCCTCCATAAATCATGTTCATGTCATGTTCGCGATATATTCACAGATATTTCCAACTGCATAAAATATATTTAATATATCACATATCCCCGCTATATACATATTCCTCCATTTAGTCTTCCATTTTCCTATGGAGATGGATTAGAAAAGGACAAATCCGCAGTTTGACACGTGCACCGAAAACTTGTTATGATACCCCATGAAAATTCCCGGGGATTTTATGATTGGAAAATAAGAATTTCGTGGAAAATCAATTAAAACAAGACCAGACGGTTCTGATTTTCTTTAATCTTGGGAAAATGTTTGGCGACAGCGAGAATAATAACCCTTGGAGTGACTTTTCATATTTTCTATATGAACGCTAAAAAGGAACAATAGTTTATTGTTAAAAGTGGAGTTTATTGCACCAATAGTTTAGGACTGATCCCGAGATTTGTAGTGGATTGATTGCATTGTTCAAGGGTTCAATTACCCTTTACTCAGAAAGGTTGGGTCTTACCTGAGTTTGTCAATGGGTCATACCCCGCGCATGATCCATCCCCCCGTACCTGCAATCCCCCAACGCAAATCCTCACTTCTCCCATAAAATCCCGTAATCCCACAGGTCCTTCTTAACTGAATTGCAACCAATCAGAGCATTTGGCACCTGCAATTATTATGACTTACCAGTAGATAGATAAAAGGGTGGCCAAAGGACATTACCTCAGTCAAAGCTAAAACTTTGAGTTGAAAACACCAGATTCTTTCACAGTCGTTTCGGTTGATCTGTTCAAATATCGAGTGTTCACTGCTCTGTGCATATCGAGTCGATTAATTTTTGAATAATATTCCTTCGATTTCGTCTTCAATAATGAATAACACTTTCGGAAACGATCCCTGTGCCATTGCAGAGCTGACTGATGATTGCTTGCGGGAAATATTCAAGAGACTCCCCATTCGTGACAGATTGACAGCAGAAAGAGGTAATAACATTTGAAAAATAAAAACAAAATTCGTCACAGTGCATAACTCAATAACCAGTGAAACAAAAATTCTATTTTTGTTAATAATTCGTTTTTGTGTTACTTTTCAAAAATAATTGAGTAGAAAAAACAAAGTGTTTCAATGATTTTTTAATTGTGTGCGATTATCACTTC